CAGTGAATAACCCTACTATCGAATACTGGCCACCAAAGTCCATCCACAATTCGATCGGCCTGCCTATACACCTACCGTTCCTCGTCCGCACCCTCAACGCCAACCTTTTCCCTATTGTATTCTCACTTCCAGACGATAGGATCTTCATGGCCGCTAATCAAGACGCTATCATATATGACTGGCGGACGAATCAGGAACGACCCCTTCCGCGAATCCCCAACGAATGCCGAGTTACGTATCCTATGGCAGCCGCTGGCCTCCTCCTTCCTTTATCTCCCGAGGACGATTACACTGCAGAGATCTTGTTATGCGGAGGTTCCACGATCGACGACACGAAACCAGGTTACGAGATATCTTCTCAAGATTCAGCATCTTCCCAGTGCTCTCGCCTGCTGCTTACCGACCAAGGAATTGCTGCAGGGTGGGTGGTCGAACAGATGCCCGAGGCGCGTCACATGCCAGATGCAGTCTTGCTCCCAACTGGCGAGGTTTTGATCGTCAATGGCGCGGGAACTGGAATCTCAGGCTACGGCAACGTTATCAATCAGGTTGGACAGTCGAACGCAGACCATCCTGTCCTTACGCCGGTTTTATATGATCCCACCGCCCCAGTTGGGCAACGCTTTTCCTCAGAGGGAATGAGAAGTAGTGCGATTCCGAGGATGTACCATTCGGTTGCGACACTGACACCCAATGGCGACATCATGGTAGCCGGGAGCAACCCGAACTTGGATCGGAGTGAGGTGAAGTATGGGACGGAGTATAGAGTTGAGTGGGTCGGTCCTCCATACATGAACAAGAACAGACCGCTCGTGCATAAGCCCCCTAAGGCTCTCCTGTATGGACAGAACCTCACTCTAAGTGTCAAATTCCCATCTTCCACAGCAAAGGCCCGCAATATCAAAGGTAGGTTTGCCACCACTCAGTTCGGGCCACCCACCTTACAATTATACACCTTAGTTGCACTCATGGATCTTGGCTTTGTAACCCATGCTGTTCACGCAAATAGCCGCCTGGTGTATCTGAGCTCTTCACTCGTCAGTGATGGACATTCACTACAGATTACTGGTCCGCCTCGACCTGCGGTGTATCCACCAGGACCAGGTTGGATATACGTTATCGTGGACAGCGTCCCCAGCGTCGGATTTCAGGTGATGGTAGGGAACGGTGATGGGCCCCCTGTGGACCACATTGCCTGGGACAAGTGCGTCTGCTTTCCCCCTTTTTTATCCACATTACTGAAGTATCTATTGACAGTTTGCTGAAAATGACCGCGGTGGACCAGTACGAAGTATCGAAGAAGATGAAAGGAAAGAAAAAGGGGAAGTATGTCGACAACACATAAGTGATCTATATGCTATCCTAGCTTTCACGGTTACTGAAACGTTGGCCTCTCATCCTGTTATCTATTTTGCTCACGAACTGACGTTTGAGCTTAGTATGTATTGCCAACAATAGATTTGTACATAACATTTTTGTATCGCACTTCCTATGATGATATTGGAGAAATATGGAAAACAAAGATGATAAATTCGTCTAAACACAAAAAGTTACAGGGCCCGCTGCTTCATACGACTGCTGACGGTCCTAAGTCCGGCATAAACTTTTCCGGGTGGTGAGCCCAAGATTAAAGAGACAATTGCATCCCGCGCAATTTTGATGTTTTGGAAGGAGCCCATAATGTGAATTTTCCTGTGTGTCCAAGGCATCAATTACGTTGTCGAGATGAAATAAGAGAACAGAGATTTACGTGTCGGCGAGCACGATACGAGTCCGGCTAGTGTTCTCGATCGTAAACTTGGTCTTGCCATCCTGTCCCGCTATCCGTCCTGAAATACTTTTAAGCGAAGAAATATGTGATACGTGCTCGTATACCGACCGATTGCTCTGCTCAGATGATCGCCATGAAGTGTTTTTACGTCTTTAATCTCGAACGAGTCGAGGTAAAGATCGTCCATTCGTAGAAGTGCTATCGCGTCCTGTAAATCAATAACTTAAATATGCATAAAGATATCAGCAATCAGCACTCACGTTAACGTCAAATCCAAGAGCATATGCCTTCACAAAATCAGCTCCTTTCTGCAGAGCACCGATTTCTGTGGTAGCTTTTGATGTCTACAGCGATGCGATAAGCATATAATCTCCAGGGAAAGGCGAACGCGCACTCTAATTTCTAAACACCGCCTCTGAACATTCATTCGCACTTGTAGCCCAAGGATCTCGGTGAGAGGACTGAAAATATTTATCCAGTCCTTTTTTATAGGCGTCATGCGATGCGGGGGTATTGGAATTCGCCTTGTCTCTGATTTTAGAGTAGATTGTGTCGCAGATGCAGGCAAAGCCGGAAAAGAGGGCGCTGAGCCTGCCTCTAGGGCGGGAGTAGGGTTAATGTCGATCATCAAATCATCATCTTTGGCAGTGTGATTCGACTTCAAAGGGGGAATAACCTCTGAAGACATCTCTTCGTCACCATCAACTTGTGCGGTATTGGCAGCCGTGCGTGCTTTCTTCCTACGAGTCATGCTTCGGCGGTTTTTTGTGGCAGATGTGTTCTGCTCTACGTGTGCGACTACCATGTCTGCTAATGATGGATGGGGAAATGAAATTAGGCCAGTATGAGGTCTCGAGGATTCAGGCCCAGGAATATTTCGAGGATGTCGGCAAGAAGTGCAAATCACGTGACCTCGATGTCACTGATCAAAACACCAGGAAAATGTTATCTGTGCGTACTAACGGCGTTGCTAGCCCTTGACCGGACTTCAAAGCTTCGCAACTGACCAAATGTCGGGTTACACCAAGGACATGAACGACAGCTATACTGAGGGTAATTACATCTTCAATAACTCTGTTGTGCTCAGAAGGAGAGCTTTTCAGCGCTGCAGGCCCTGTTCAACTCGCTGGCACCCAAAGGACCTGACACGAGCCCCTCTTCAAAGCTAGCACCTTCGCAATTCAAACATCTCGCTGATAAAATAGATGAGATCCTCGAAGGCGCAAGTGAGGGTGAAGCCTTACAACGGAATGAGAAGGGCGAAGTGCGTCTTCGAACCTGTGTCTACTATATGTATTGAATTCTTTATCTGTATTCAAAGCTTCTCAACGACGAGGGTCTCCCGATCATAGACATCACTGAACCTGCTGCGGATATCAGTGATATTGACTTTCCAGCGGCTTCGTTTCATGAGCCAGATCTCATACCAGAATCATCTCTATCTACTTCGGAGAGGGAACAGCGCCGTCGCACACGAGATCACATTCTAGCTATGCTTGAAGAAGAGGAACAATCACAATTGGAAAGAGACGAAGTAGAAGAAAGGGAGAAGCGGATGGAGGATATACGTAAGCGCAAGGAGGCCGCGAAAGCAGAAATGGAGCAGTTAAGGGCAGCCAAAGAAATGCAGAAGAAAATGGGGAAGGCCCTGCTGAAAAACCTTGCAGAAGCCAGGGAAAAGGAGGAGCGAAAGCTAAAAGATCTTATCGAAAAGGAGCCTCCCAAATCGGAATCCTCCAAACCGAAGAAGACTGTTACTTTTGCTAATCCCAGTTCGCCGGATGAATCATCTGCTACAAGGGAGAGTCAAACTACTGGATCATCCATTGATTGGGGACGTCATCCCATGAAGATGCACGTGGTGGAGCGACATCCAGCTTCGTACCAGTCATCGTCAGAACTTCAGCCTGAAGGTGATTCAGATGATGAACCTTTTTCCACGACGTCTTCGACACCCGATGAAGTTGAAAATATGCCATACGAGTCTTACACTGCGGACAGTGACGACGACGACGACGACGACAAATCGGATGAGGGTTTGCTGGAAGAGGAATTTGATTGGGATTCCGCACAGCACCAGCGAGAAGTGGCCCTGGAGTATTATAAGAAGCGTCATGCTATTGGCGCAGAGGCTGCCCGAGCGATGACTTCCCACACACACGATGATGAAGAATGGAACCAAGGGGTCAGTATTTCCCTTATTCAGCCCCGCAATTTAAACAAGTCAACTACAGGATATTGCCCCAGATCAGCGCACGAAACCTAGTGTATCGCGCTTCAGGGCTGATCGTATGGCTACAGCATATGACAAATCTACCTCTACTTCTCTTGGTCCATCAGTTATTCCAGCCTCTCGACAAAGATCCTTGCAAGAAGCTATCCGGTTGGGAAAATTTGACAACAACCATCTTGTTGGCGGCGAGGAGGGGGAAAGCGGGAGTGAGGATGAGGCTGTCCGAGAGGTCTTGGAGCTTCTGAGAAATGGCCGCATCCATAATGCTGGTACTGGCCCCACGAGCTCGACTGTGGCAGAACCAAGCGCAGGTTCTGCGAGGAGCGCGGCAGGTACAGTCGCCAGCGTTCTCGGAGGAAAGATGTCTAGGTTCAAAGCAGAGAGGATGTAGAATGCACCTCAGCGTGCAAGTATGATGGACGATGATCGATGAACAGTTATAATTGGCTTACTACTCTACAGACGTATCGAATGGCGCAAGATAAGTGAGGGACGCAAGGACATACAGGCTATTTATTTTTCAGCATCAGCATCTAATTTACCTATCAGACGGGACGAGTCACTCCTACCCCCGAGGCAAATAGTTTAGTGACCAAAGAAGTGTCGAGCTCAACTTTGTCGGAATTACGCCAGCCATGGCTGACGCTGTGCACAAATCTTCTTCTCAGTGTTCCTCTTGCCCCTCCCGCCCCCCGGTGTCTTGTATGCCTGCCCGTCGTCCGTACTAATGTCATAACAAGGTGGTTGTGGCTGACAGCGTCGAGGCTGAAGGCATGCGCGATGTGTCAGCTATAAATGAAAACTCCGACCGAATTGAACCGAGCGGCTGACACGCCCCCATCCAATACCCCGGAGTCTGTGACAGATTTGCCCCCAGATTGACCATTAACTAAACTTTCTGTGAACTGCGTAGCTGCCTGGTTGCAGTAGATAAGTCAAAGGCACTATCGACATTCGACCAGTTCAAAGTCGTTTTCATTTCCAAAATCTGGAGAGATGTCCGAGTCCTTATACTCGTCTTGTGCGGATGTACTCTCTGTGTGCCAGGCTGCAAAAGATGACCTTGCCGCTATCCTCGATCCCAACATGGGGTTTGCGCCTAGGCTACGACAATTGTGTCGCGACCGGTGCGTATCAAATTCCTTGTCTATAGAGCGCACCTCACCTGCCACCAGAATAACAGAGGCGGAGAATAGCGCGGCTTCTGACGTCTCTCAAGAGGAACTCGACATCTTACGCATGGAGGCCAATACGTGGGGCCTTCTTCAAGCTATAATTCCGTGAGTGAACGCGTCTTGCTACTGGTTCCTAACTCAAGGCAACTGTAGTGCCCGAAAAACCGAACCAGAACCACGCGTCCATCCCCGCACATTACTTGCCACAAATCCCTACACACCTACGTCAACATTAGCACAAGCAATCATGGATTCATCAGTACTCCTCACGGAACTCGTCGTAGTACGAGAATGGCTCCATGAAACTGCCCCACAACCGCAACATCCAGAAGCCACCACAGGATACTGGAAGTTTACGAAACATAATGTCATGCAGGGTTTACGCACAGGCTCAGGAATAAGAGAAGGTCTGGTAAAAGAGCTAGATCCTGATGCCATGAACAGAGGTGATGGCCGATCATTAGCGGCTGATGACGCCGTGAGCCAAATAATAACTTGTTGAAGCACTGACTAACATGCAATCATTCGCAGGGATCTGAGAAAAGCCTAGCACAAGCGCTCTATTCATTTGTTCGTGCTGGCAGATTGGATGAGGCAGTTGAATTATGCAGAAAAGCACATCAACCATGGAGGGCTGCCAGTATCCGCGGTTCGTTATTATTTCAATGGCGAGCTATTGGTAAGTCAAGCTCTAGGTATGCATCCGTGCATCTCTGATCTGCTGACAGCAAATGAGCAACGGCATGATGATGGCATCGATGATGCTGATGATGCGGAAGGATGGCAGGGAAACCCACGTCGAAAATTATGGAAATCAACATGCGCAAGAGCAGCTCTGAATGTGTGTTATCCAACCATTTGTGCATCGTCTTTTTAACGTGTCCTTCAAGCCCAGCCTCCCCGATCCAGAGCGCATTCTCTACGCAGCTCTCGCGCCCTGCCCGCAAACATTTAGTGTCCTCAAATCTGCATGTCGAACATGGGAAGATCATCTATGGGCGCAGATCAGTATCCTGTGTGAGGAAAAACAGACCGCAGAAATGATTAAACTGGGTGGCGGCTTCTGGGATGGAGGACTGGCAGTATTAGAAAACATGCCCTCGCCACCGTCCCAAGAGGAAGATGCGGCTGAGGAAGAAGAGTGGGAAAAGGAAGCGACATCTACGTTGGAAACCCTAGGTAGTGTTCATGTGGAGGATGGGTACGGCCCACGTACACGTCTATCTTCCATGTACTGACCGTCAGCTAGTCCTACCGCAGACCACGCATTTCACGTCTCTCAGCTGGCCATAATACTCGATAGGACAAGTTCATTGCTAGAAACCTTTGCAACTGGACTAAAAAATGGAAACTTCGATCCCGAATCATCAGAGTAAGCTGAACAACGTGTATTTGACATCCTCTAACAAAACATCAGGTACCCTACGATGACGCGTTTCTTCGCCCACCTGTGTCTTTATTTACGGATGATTGACATTACAATTCCGCCACTTGCGACCCAAGTCATACTCGAGGCTTATTTACAAGTATTGGAAGTGAGAAATTGACCTAGTTGTTTCTTTCCGCGCTAATCTCCTTGTCAGGCTGCAGGCCAACGAGAGTTGATCGCCATGTATGCCGGCGCGCTAGGAGAGAACGCAGTCGAACGATATGCGATGTTCTTGACTTCGCTCGAGCTGACCGCGGACATAAACGAACGTCGATTAGCATTGACTCGCGCACGAGAACATGGTCTAGATGTTCACAGGGTGGCAGTTGTCACTGCCGAGCGAACAATTGACAGAGCTTTCGAGGTTGGTGGGACTTGCATCTCAAAGCTCATGTGCGTGCTGAACACTACTTGCAGCTTCTACCCCAAATGAAGGGACCACTCCCTTCTGTTATTACGTTGCAGGCCACTCCCTCCGATATCGAGCTCCTTCTGCTTCGTTCCATAGAGTGGACGACATTCGAGGATGGAACGCATGGTACCGCACTGGAACAGGCGACCGTCATTTTGCGGTACTTCTTAGGTAAGCTTGCTGTCGACGTTTAACTATCACGATTTAATCCATGTCTTCTAGGGGCAGGGAGAGTTTCGCTTGCAAAGAACCTGATGGAGGTGCTTCCGCGTGAACTCGCCTCCATTGACCAGCCCGAGGAACGAGCAACAGAATACCTTCACTACAGGCAGTTCTTCACGATCTGGGACAGCCTTGACCGTGTCGTGGAGTGTCAGAGTCTAGAGGTTTCGATAATGAACCGGGACACCAGGGCCGCTTGGTTGAGCGACTACAAGGGACTTATGGACCAGGCTTACGATGCCGTCGTGAAACTACTCACCTCGGATTGGATGATGCCGGACGAGACAGGAGATCGCCGTTCCCGCGAGCTAACTCGCGTTCGGCAGATATACGTCCCGGAGCTCGTACTGCGGCTGCATGTCATGCTCTACGCCTCTCGAGAGCATGTCCCAGAGTAAGCATGTCTTCGTATACAATGCCTGCAGTTCTAACACATCTTGGTCAGAAATCTGAAGCGCGCATTGGAGCTTGCTAACATTGTTGCGGATTCGAGGTACAAGCTGTATGATGATTTCTTGCATCTCGATGGCCGAAGGCTTGGGGAATACCTTGACGCTGTGCGCCGGGCAACGATAGCTGGCTTGGAAGGCGGTGGATCTGATCCTTTCAAGATAATTTTATTGTAGTCACTGTTTGTTATAACTTTGTGAATCTATCTTGGAGGGCAAAGTCATCCATATGCCTACACTTACTACGTACAAGCGTACCGATCACCTTCGGACGTCGCGTGTCATTTTACAGTGAATTACAATAACAGGTGTCTGTATACTACGTTCGCCATAGTCTTTTCCTCAGCTTCTGTAGGAAATAACATCCGAATGTCTCGCTGAACTCTCGATAGCGCAGTGTAAAGCTGACCGCGTGCAAACGAATCTGTACGTAGGTCCAGTACCGCTTTCTCGAGCGTGAGTCCTTGACATCCGTTGAATGTGGTGGCATAAGCAGGTCGCAGGGGAAATTGCTTTCAATTGACGGTCCAGCTTGACCTCGCAGGATTGAAAGAGAACGTAATCCGAGGGAGGCAATGTCTCTCTCCTGTTTGAGGCATCTCAACCTCCACGAATCTGCGATGCGCACTGGTGCATTTCACACTAATCTGTCCTCGACGGACATGTTGCGTTGTATTGCGCATATAGCATCGACTTTGACATCCAGTCGATGGGGAGGCGTGTTTGGATGAGTCAACATGGCGAGGTAGTCGGGTGTTTGCTCAGGTGCGTCTGCAGGTGCTTTGTCTGCTTCTTTCAGACTGTCTGAAGTTCCTGGTAGCTCCGCCTCCCAACTTGGATTGTCTAGAACCCCTGCCAGCACCTTGAGGGACTTCCATGCTCGCCGGTACTGGTCTGTTGCCGTCGTCACAGTAAGCTCGACTTTCTTGAGTACAGCAGATGCCCTCGTGTTGGCCCGCTGGCCACGAATATTGGCATCCTTGAATTTGTAGAGATGGGATCGAAGGCGGAGTTGTCGACGAAGGTCGTCCAAAGATTTGTAGGCCTGCGCACGTCGCAGTTCCCACTCGTAGACATAAAGTCGCTGGTCACATGGTGGCAACTCGGCGGTGTGCTTGAGCTCGGATGGAAGCCAAAGGTTGGTTTCATGCATTTTCTCCTCTCGTGCTATTTCTGCGCTCGTAGTTTCAGATGTACGGAGGCGGCTGACCATGGACATATAGAGCAATTGAACCTGGCACCGATGCTCTACCTTCCGCAGTAGGGCATTGGAGCGCTCTTGCAGTTTCGCCAGCTGTAGATCAGTTGCATGGGCACCTAGGGCGTTTTGATCTTTCCATAGACGATATCTGCAGGTCCTTGTCAGCCGTTGAAAATAAACATTTCACTTTTATGCTTAAATCTGACACTATAGCCTGTCTCCAATAAAATTTGTGTATGCTGGGTCACCAATGCTTCGAACGGGCGTGGTGAATGTGAAGATGCGCATGAAGCTCCATAGAGGAGACAATTTGACCAAAGCAGCTAAGGATGCAATTTCGCCTGCTCCGCTCACGACCGGTGCCACTCGACGAAAGTCGCCCAAGCTGATGATCGGAATTCTGCCAAAAGGTTTGTCATAGACATTCAATATTCATGATGCAACGGCATAAGTTGTCTACACATTTGCATGCTGCTTTATTTGCCATGGGCAACTCATCTCATATGATTGCTGTAGTGTTGCGAATGAGATCGGCTCGTGCAGAGAAGGGATGTATGGTGGAGTGTTGAAGATCCACGCAGTCTTCGGTTATGGGGATCCCAAACATATAATGAGCAGTCCAACCGCGTTTATAAGCTGTTGCGCACAATGCGCTGCTCCCAACGATGAGAATGACGTGTCCTGATGCGCGCAGTGTGGATGCTAGCGCAACGTTTTTCCTCTCCCGGGTCTACCTTTGACGAATCTTCTCGTGGCTGGCAGATGGCATGCTGCAGAACACGCGAATTGGTTCCGAAACATCATATTGTAGATGACGTCACGACTTACGGACGTGCTGATTGGGCACCATGGATTGTGTCATACGTATATATATTACAGAGGATTCAGTACTGTTCGATATCGGAACTCATGATGTTTACCATATTCCTTGTCGCAGCAGCTACAGGCTTGGCGTTAATCTTGATATCCCCATTCAAGGCGACAGAGCCCTACCTCTGTCCCACGAGAACCTTATTCATCTTACGTGTTATAGAGACTTTCCTAATTTCAATGTTCCCAGACGGCGTTGCAGTGGCCAGTATCAGTGTCCTCGTGTCGCACTACACCGGATTCAGAGGATTCCCCATCTTTTTGGCTATCTGGGGTGTTAAGGTTACCTCTGACATAATCGTATGTAATTCATTTCAAAATCATGACATAATTAATATTAATCACATTGTAGCAACTGATTGAGGCATATCAGTATCTTCTCACTCGTCACCAGGAGTTGGACTGGTTTTGGCGACATTCCCCTGAGCTGCGTCTCTGATACCCCAATTTGAAAGCCAAGCTCTCAGAGGTATTTCTTTTTTTAAATAATTTAACAGCACTTAGCATCTAATTCATCATTTTACTTAGTCCAAGCAGTTTCTCATCCTACTTAAGAACCGGGTCATATTTGTCATCTTACTCGAACATCACGCCCTGCGTTTCCACGCGGAAACCCTTCTCAAGTTCAGCTTACCCAATACGATGTAGGGATTCATTTCTGGCTGGGCTTGTAGAGACTGTTTTTACCTTACCTTATGTTGGCACTTTTGTAGCTTACATAAGCAAGTTATCTTTTCACCAGTTACCAGTAGGAGTCAGAGTACTCAGCAAGTTTTCATGATATTTCCTCTCCTCTGAGCCTTGAGCCTGGTCCAGAAACCCTTTAGGGTCGAATAGCAGCTAGGTTCTGCAAGACCCAACATTGTTCAGACTCACTCTCTGAATTGTTGTACCTTCAATGGGGACCACCTGGCATCGGATCCGAGATACGGACATAGGGGACACATAGGACAAGCGCAGATTTTCGGACATTGCACCGGCCGACGATTTCGGACTTCGGATACCATTGCACACTCGGACATTGAGTTGTTTGCATCCATCGCATTTGTGCAGAAGAGAACAGTGATAGATTATGCAGAGAAGTAGGAAAAGACGTCAGAACACGAGCAGACACATATCAGTGCATTTTCGGACTTGCACTCGGAAAGTTCCCGCGCATCGCATCGGCCGCGTCAGCTGCTCAGATACATTCCCGCACATCGCATACCTTCGCATCACTTCCCCTATGCTTGAGATACCTCGCATTTATCAGATTTATCCGTTGCCGCACTAATCACGAAATATCGAAACAATCACGCATATCCGCACTTCGGACCCGACAAACCCGCCGTTTTTCCCGCACATCGGCCGCTGATTTCGGACATTCGGATCGCACTTCGTCGCATCAGAGTCATAGACATCCATTCCCCGCGCATATCATGTTTAAACCTCCTATTCTTCCCTCGCTTTCGCTCGAGTAGTACACTGACTGGGGACAGTCAGGATTCAAAGTTCGTAGGAGATGTAGGACACGAGCTGGTGCTGGGCTCGTATCGAGCTATTTTACAGTACACGTCAAATACCCGTCACATGCTAATCACTTCCCGATGTTATCCGACGCTAACCCGCCAACCCGACATTTAGGCCGCATCGGACCCGATGTTTTCCCGCGCACTTGTCCTATCCGTGTCCCGTCCTGTCTTGCTAGCCCCACTAGGTGTGTAGTTCATTATTTCGCACATTACTCACGTCGTAGCCAGCGCTATTACATGTTTTCCCATAGTCCGCAGTGCCTCATGTTTATTTACATGTACTTCGGATCCGAAATACTCCGCCGCTACTTTCGCCTACGGGTTCCGCATTTCTACGTACTTACATATATATTGGACTGACCTCAAGCATTATTCATTATCCAAGTAGAGGGGAGCAGTTCCCCGACGCTTAGTGGTCAAACCCGATATTTCGTAGTTCTTAGTTGATATTGTGAATATCATCGCTCTTTCATTATCCGTATCAATCATTGTTGTCATCACGCATACCGCTCGCTTTTCTGACGCTCGCATAACGCGTCACTATTAGTTTCCGCATACCCGACCCGAATTCGACTACCCGACCCGACAAACCCGACGCTTTTGCATCGGACATCGTAAATATACCTTCGGACATTGTTTCCCGCGCTCGGACTATTGACCCCACATCACTCACTTACCCCCAAGACTATTCCCAGACTGCAGACCCCTGGGTCGAACGCACTTGTCAGGCAAGTATAGCAGACTAGGCAGTGCAAAGACCACAACACAAATATATCAGTTAGGAGCCATCTTCGATTTGTTCCTCTCAGTATTGTTGTTTCTACAACGCTATTGAATGGATCATGTGATGAAACACTGGCTATCGCTCGTCCTCTGCGACGCTTGCATGCTGAAGAAGACATCATCGCATTGTCATCCTTACATACTGCTCCCACGAACTCCTTCTCTCAACAACATCCCTTTGCTGCCTCAGACGCATCAATGCTCCCGTCACCAGCATCACTTTTCCAGAGCCGGTCAGTTACGTCTGCAGCGGCGACACCTAATAGCCAGGTGGTATTCTCACTGGCGAGTTATGGAGCATCAGCAGGGATCCTGCATGGCGAGCTACTGGGCATCATAGCCACTGTTTTACTATCTGTTCACGCTAACCCGCAAGAACCCTACTCCGTTTTGACAGATCACAAAAATGCAGTGCACATGATACAAGATGCTCTTCCCGGTGCTCTACCCCACGTCTGGAACAATCAGTCACCGCGTGCCTTATACCGCTGGTTGTTTTCACTTCTACACTCTTCAGCACCCGCGCCCTCACTCGTCTGGACCGCTGCTCATACCGGTGGGCTGACGCCAGAATGTCTTGCCAACGATTATGTTGATCGGATGGCCTCGTTTGTGCAAGAACGGCGTGGTGTTATTCCCTCTGCGCCACTGGCAATGTTCTCGATGGATGATTACACTATGTTTGCATCAGGTTATGGTTTTGTTGAAAACAACTTGTCCTCTTTCCTCATTTCTAGGCTAGAAGACTCTTATGCATCGAACAACTCCTTTCGTCCAGCGCGAGCGCTGACTCTTGTACTATATGACAGTCATCGCCTGCCGGACTTCCCATACACCTGAGCATCTAGCTCCTTCTCTGCCGTCGTACAATTGTACGCCCGATCATCTTGACACTAAAGGCGTTATACGAGCGCGGTAGTATGTACGACGAGGAGCGGATCACTAGAACACAAAGGTAAATCTCAGTTCGTTTGAAACGACTCTATTGATCTATGTACCTAGAACACAAAGGTAACTACGAACCGTTAGTTCAACGTTAACGGCTGGTACGACAAAGATACTCACATCTCAGTTCGTTCGAAACGACTGAGATGTTTGGGTGCTGCACTTTGTGCTTATAAGGTAAGTGGCGTGGTTACAGGAATATATGATTGATAAACATTGAAAAGATGATAGGACGTGAGCCGACGTTGCACGTCGCTCGTCTTCGTCCTATTTGGCGTGCGCTCGGACCTATCTCCCCTTATCGCTCAGATCCTTCGGCCTCTCTCGACTCTGATCTTTCCCTTTGGTAGGACGTCTCGGCCTCAGACTCCAACAGACACCGCAGAAGTGCAGCATCGGCATTTTCGTGATATGCCGCCCTGGTGTCATTTCGGTTGTGATGCTTTTGAGAGCGTTCACCATGTTTTTGCTCACTGCCTGGCCTTCTTGGCTATCCGCCGTGCACATAGCATGCAACTCTGCGATGAGACCTCTTCGTTACTTGAGGGTAAGGTTGCCGATCATGTGCGAGAGGTCTTGGAAGGAGCGGCTCAGCGCGTATTTTCTGACGACGCGCAGCTTTGGCCACAATATCAGACGTGTTTTTACGTGGGTGTGCTACCCCCACTTGCGCGTATTGTGGGCAACATAACTGAGACAGATGTGAGTGTATTACCCCCACAGTCTCATGATATGAGTAACATTGCATCTAGTAATGCGGGTGCCTTACCCCCGCAACTGGATAGTACGACGATAGATCCTAAGGTGTTGTTACGGTTAGCGCAGGCATGGCACGTGCGTGGTATTCAGCTGGCGGGACATATTTGGGGAGAGTATAAACGACGAGTAAGATGTCTGAATGCCGTTCCTTCTGATAAGGTGGCATATAAGTCTTTGGACACTTGTGCATACCTTTTACCAACAAATTTGCGAGGTTTGGTTTGATTATTGGATTCGGAGGACGTTTTTGTTTCATTGGTAGTTGAGCCATCGAGGAACCTAGTGCATCGTTGTACCACTGAGGCTACACTAATCCACTAGTTTTTCCATGATGTGCAGCCCGTTGCATTCCAACGCACCCTTCGGGCTTTGTCACAGCGCTTGATTTCTGCTTCCCAAACCAATCGCTCAAGTATATCTAGGGGCTCCTCACGCGGTCTGTGTTCAAGAATGCAGAGAAGGTCATCAAAGCACTATTGGAGGGCACCGCACCCGCAGAGCCCTCTGATACAGAGGATTCATCGGACCAGCCTATATGTTCACTCAACAATGCAGCTACTAATGAGAACAAGTGAAGACTCGTCGGTCTGTGCTTTGAACTCACTGTGCGCCCTGATTACACTTCTTGTCCACAACCAGTCGCCTGGCAGAATTGAAAGTCGTACAACTTGAAACTATTCGCCACAAAACTCATTTTCCAAAGCAAGTACATTCGGATACATCCTAGACACGCTCGAGGTGCTGATGTTTAGTGTACTTACGGTACGGTCCCATGCTTGTGATCACGTCTCGCTGAAACACAGACCAGTCACCCGCAGCAAGCTTTCGCAAGACAAGTGATTGACTGCTACATAGAGAGCAGAATTAACAAATGAATGACTTAACCAAATCGTAACGGTGCTTGCGCACCAGTCCCCGACTCCTGATTCCGGCCTGCTCGTTCCAGAGTGTGATTCAGATACATGAGTGCAGTAAATATTACATATGCAAGATGATGTGTACCGTAAAAATCACGAGGTGGTACATCATAAATGCAAAGTAGGACAAGGTAAGAACAAAGTGTAAAAGGCGTGTATGCACATTATAATGTCAATTCATGGCTTCAAAGATTTTGCTTGTGAAGAAGGTCCTGCTCCAGTTTCGTCCATTGAGTATCTAACCTTGTGAATGTGTGGATGAGTTTCGGGTTGTGATGATTGAGGCTTCCGTGCCCGAATAACGACGAACGACTTCCCAGAATCCTTGGGAGATGAACTGCCTTCAGGCCCCACCTCACTCACCCCACTGTTCAGTCGATCACCCTCGCTGTGCCTACAATTCCTTCGAATGTTGTACCAATGTCTCTTCTTTGGTTGGTCAGGATCACTGTTGTTTGATTCCCCGCTATTCGTCTTGGTTGCCATCGAAGGATGCTCCTGCATAGGAGCATTTACAGGTGTTGCATCCAATAATAACCGCTGTTTGACTCTTCGTGCGCATGTGTGGCAACATTGCTTCAGTAGGTAGTCCAGAACCCATGAGCGCAGGAAGGCGCGCAACATTCGCTATGAAAGCAGTTGGAGTAGGTAGTTCTTCATCATCATAGATCATCTTCGTTGGTGTGCCAACAGACACCGGCCCACTGCGCTTGCATTCCATGCTAGGAAACGTGAAAGTTGAGCTCCCCCCAGTCTCGCTGGCAGTCGCGTATGGTGAGTCATAGTGGGCGCGACCGCCACCGGTGCGGGAGAAACCTGGATTGGAGTGTTGGGGAGGTGTACTAATGGATGTGCGGTCGTATGAACTGCGGGGACCTGGACCTGGGAATGGCTGCCACACACCCATTATGTAACCATCATCATCGCTGTCCTCTCTGTAAGGCTGCAAAGCATGCTCGGGTCGCAATACTGATGGCGGGGGCCCACCAGAATGATGAGAGGAGCTGGAACTAGTGATGTGCATGGCCCGGCTTGGCCTGAAAGCCGCGGCTTCGGCCTGGCTTCAGACGGCTTTGGCTTTGAAAAACTGCGGGCCAGGCCAAAGCCGTCAATGACGGCTTGGCTTTGGCCTGGCTCGGCCTGAGCCACGGCCCGAGCACTGAAAACAGAAAAATGGTTCAGACAAGGATGACATACTATTTACACGAAGTCGCTGTCTGATTCTACGAGATCCTCATCTCCCTCCAGAAGAGCGTCCCAACCTTCATCCTCGGCATCACTCAGCTTCTCGGAGTCGTTAGTGTCTGACTCAATATCCAAGTCCTCGAGAGCTTCCTCAGTTGATGATGATGGTCCAGGCTCACGGAAGAGTACGTCGTGGCGGAGGGCGCATTTGACTGACGCATTGAAGTGCCTCAACAATGTCACCCTTGAGACGGTTTCGGCGCTTGCTGATAGTGATACCGCCCTGTGAGAACGCGCGCTCACTTGAAACTGACGATGCCATAATTGACAGGTACTGAAAATGACGAGTGTGCTATCTGCTAACACTGTGGCAAGTGAGTTGTGTCGAGCTTGAAAAGAATGTCTGCGACTCACTGTGATTCTTACCACATGAACATGCACACAATGTAAGTGATTGAAAAGCTAAAATGAGACAGAAGTCAGATTTTCGATTGACGATCGTCAAACAGTTTGAGCTTGGGCGCTGCAGGCACAGTTGACTAAGCCGCGGCCTGAGCCGGCGGCTTTGGCTTTTCATTAGCCCAGGCCAGGCCAAAGCCGTCACCAGGCCGTGACTTTGGCTCGGCTCGGCTTGGCCTGGCCCACGGCCTGAAGCCGGGCCGTGCACATCACTAGCTGGAACCTTTGTCTTTCTGCGCGAAAGATGCGTTGGGTGGCACATAGGGAGATGAATCACGTGCAGCGAAAGAGTCTCGAGCCACGGCCCACGGGTGAATGTCGTACTTCCGTGGCTTTGTAGTGTCTTCGTTCGTGACCACCTCTCCGTGGCCCGCAACATCTGAGAAGATAAAGCACACCGATCAATCCGCTATCGACTGGCCGTCTGGAGTGATCAAAGCCGACCCGACCAAGAATGCGCACAACAGTTTCGATGACCTTGATAACAAGAATCAGAAACAACATAAGATAAACAAGGCAAAGGACAATCAGTATGCCATAGGCTACCCAACCGCCTGCGCCTATTGAAATCTGAACGAGCTGTTAGCATTGGACTTCACGGAGACAGGTAGCCTTACAGTTGGGGTCAAAATAATTAGCAGCACGGCAACCACGATACATGCAACGCAAAATAGGAAGCCGATGAGGCCCATGCCTGCTCCTGCACCCCATGGTAACCATACGCTCATGACCAAAGTGCTAACCACTTCTGCCGCCAAAATCACAATTGCTTGTGCTGTTACACATGTCATCGTATTTCAAGTTGAGGATATATATCGACGCGCTTTGAAGTCTGTAGTGTCTCACAAATAAAGGACCAGGCTGAAGATGACATTGAATGAGCCAAGGACCAAGCTATTCAATTGCTTCAAGAAATTCCTTATCGCAGTGAAAACAGATGTAGAACTGCCGTCGCGCAGGTTTGGATGTCCGAGAGCGGTGAGATCCATGTAATAAGACTCAGCTCTCAGCTACTGACAAAAGTACGATGGTGAGTATTTGCCGAAAACTGTAGAGCACTCAGCAGATGAGAATAAAGTTAAGATTGTGTGGATATAAAGTACACAAAATCGATTGTAAATCTCGAGCCCAACGAGTTGCAACGAATTTGATTATTTTCCGAACCGAATCGAGTTCACATCGAGTTTATGTAACTCGCCTCGACGGCAACACTATTTACGCCAAGCTCGTATCGTCCACGTGCCTATGGCATCGTTGGCCTTGGTTCTTCGCGTCGCAATCGCTCTTAGCACTCAAGGATTCTTCCAGCCAGATGAGTACTTCCAGGCGTTAGAACCCGCACACCACTACGTCTTTGGATATGGACACCTCACGTGGGAGTGGGTTAGCCCAGTACCACTTCGGAGCATCATCTACCCTGCGTTGAATATGCCTCCCTTTTGGATTATCAAGACACTGGGACTTGATACAAGATACCCTGAGCTTCTCGTGAGCATTTTATTTATTCTACCATTCTTCATCTTCATTCGACAGGTCAGATAGCAGGCCCACGCATCGTCCATGGTCTGTTGGCTGCCATCACAGATATATGGATCCGTGAAATTACAAGACAAGTTCTCAACGATGCGTTTGTGCCAACTGCTGTTCGATTCATCGAATTCGAGCGTAATCGACGACTGAAGTGATTTCCTACAGTACTTTGTCTCTTTGACATCTCTATTCCATTCGTTGTCACTTTCACGTTCCATGTCGAATTCCCTCGAAACATCATTGACGACAGCCGCACTAAGCTACTATCCTTGGAACAATGCGCAATCCAAGCAGGTACAGTCGTCAGTCACTCAAACTGGCTGTTATTGTGACAAAACATCTCATACGTAAGGAACAGGGCTACTAGTAGAACGCGCATGTGCATTGTGTTTGCTGCGCTGGCGTGCGCGATCAGACCAACCAATGCTATCATCTGGGTCTACATGTTTGGCCTTCTCTTCCTGCGTCTCGGGCTCCGCCTGAGTCGGGGGTCCAACCTCATTCGCGATTGTTGTGTCATTGGGTTAGCTGTCTTCGTCCATTTGCGCGAAGCAATTACCAACTTACGATTTTTACAGAGCTGGGACTATCCTGGCAGTCTTTGCGCTCGATTCAGCCTTTTATGGCAGACCCGCGCTGAGTTTATTGAATTTTCTGCGAGTCAATGCGTCGCCTGTATCTTTGTTCTACGGCTCCAGCCCTTGGCATTATTACCTGTCTCAGGCACTTCCAATTCTTTGTTCAACATCCTTGCCGTTCGTGCTGCATGGTATGCTCCTCGCAGTGAAGAATGACGAGAAAAAACCAAAGACAATGCTCGGTTGTATCTTTTGGACATTGACGGTATTCTCATTTGTTGGACATAAAGAATGGCGTTTTCTCCACCTACTCCTGCCGATGTTACACATATTTGCATCAAGGTCCCTAGTGGAACTGTATCATCGCAGCGCGAAGATCGAGGTCAAAGTTCCCCGGGAAAAGAGAAAGAATGCAATAGCCAAAACCTTCTCGCTCCCAATCCGCACTCAAGATCTATGCCTTCTTTTATTGACCGTCCCAGCGTCGATATATGTGGTGTTCTTCCATTGCGTAGGACAAATAAAAGTCATGTCTTATTTGCGGAGCTTGCCTCCCGAGAACCTGACGTCCGTGGGGTTCTTGACACCTTGTCATTCGACCCCGTGGCAAGCCTACCTTCACCGGCCCGAGCTCGCAGCACCCGGGAGAATGTGGGCTCTTGGGTGTGAGCCACCACTGGGGTAAATGATCATCCTTGTCGTAATTTTCGCTTGGGCTTGATATTTTGCACTCAGACTTCAACATCCTAGCGACTACAAGGACCAGACAGATATCTTTTTTGAAGCACCTTTGGAATATATGCGAACACATTTTCCATCGCGTGTGGACACGTCGTACCCTCCTTCGGCCTTCGCTTCATCAGTGCCAAACGTCACATTCGTGGAAACACTTCAAGTTGTTGAACAAAGCTCACGATCTTGGGATTTAGGCTGGCGGCATGAGTGGCCACAATATATAGTACTGTTTGGCGCGCTTCTACGGGAGCCGGGCGTGTTGGACCTATTCCAAAATCAGGGTTACGAAGAGGTATGGAAGGGTGGGTTTGAGTGGGAAGGAGAGGGTCAGAGAAGGGGCGCCGTTCGGATTTGGAAACACATCGGTTGAATTCATCCTCAGCCACAGACAAAAGATCATAAATCGTCTAACGCATATGATTGAACATGAAAATAATGATTGATTGAGGAGTGCAATTCAGGATGTAAAAGATGTATCTGAGAAATCAATACGGCTACATCACGGTGTGCCGGGTGGCCAAATGTCCACTGGAGATCATCTACTTTGCATTCTGGCGTTGCATGCGAGTGAGCTGTGATGACAACATATGTTAGCAAGGAAGTTGATCTGAAGGGGGATGACTGACTCTGCGACGCTTCTTCAACCTAAATAGGATAGTGATCAGTCAGTCTACCATCCCTTCACATTGGAATATGAAACATACTTGTGCTTCTTCATCTTCTTTCGCTTCTTACGCTTTGTGCTATCAGCGTAGATAGTGACCCACTCCTGTGCAGACTCTTTCGCGTTAACCGCGCTACCTTCTGCAGTCTCCTCACCCAAACCAAGTTTTGCCAGAGTGTTTTGCCAGGATACTATTCCACCCACGCGATTCATGACCAATGCATGACCAAGCTGCCTCGCAGCATCAGCATCAGTCTCGAACGAGGATTCTGGCGGCTCGTCGAGGGTAGGAAATTGCCCTGACTGCAATTGAGTCGTTGGCATCTCTTCTGGTGACTGAAAGAGAGGTGCGTCCTGGGGCGCAGACTCAAAGATGGTAGATGGCGGTTGAGATAAGAGCAGAAGTGGTCGATGCAATGAGAAAAATTGGTGGAGATTGAAATCCTGTGACGATATTGTGGGATGAACTTGGTGGTGGAATTGGCTTGAAAATGCCGAAATCTGCGATGTAAATGGTAGGGAAGGGTTACTTCGTGCTGCGTCGACTGTGTTCGAAGCTGGAATCGAAGGAGTTTCATCTGCACCTCCGACCTTCATCTTGCCGTTCCCATTCCCAGAGCTGCTCGTTCCATCACTGGGTGCGACGCTGGTGTTTCCATTATCAACCTTTGCTCTGCTAGAAGGAACGACAGGCTTGGGAGGTTTAGCGGAATTGAAGTATCGACCTCCGCCTGGTTTAGACGAGAAAAAAGAAGAATATGCTCTACAGTTCACCGCTGGCGGTTTGAAAAGACGTGGTAGGAAAGACATAAGTGTCTTTCCTTCGAGCGTCTGGCCTGGCCAGTAATTTGAGAGGGAGGTCTTGACGTTGTGTGCAAGAGAAAGTGTTCAACCAAAACGGGATTGTTGTGTCAATGGCGCGGCAATGCTGAATCGGCCGAAGCTTGGGCTTGCAACTTTCCGGGTGCCTCTCACTCGCATGCTCTCTACACGTTGAACACTGGATTGACACTGGATATTTAATTATTCGGACTCTTCATTATATATGTATATATATCTAGATCAGCGGACAGTTAGCTGGTTGAGTGGAATACTGTCGGAAATCGGAAGACGTACACTGTCGTGAGACAATGTGGAAGTACACTGCTGTACCACGGTCCACCACCACCACCACCACCACCACAGTAACCGCATACCTGGATCCTTGGCGCGGGGCGCCCGCCTTCCATATACACCAGTACCAGTCCTATTAATTGTATTCATCAATCTCGATATGTCCGTCTCTCCCCCTGTATTCAATATCCATACGCCTACATCTTCTTTCGCGCTCATCCACTCTCGTAAGCATTTCAACGATATGACATGACGAAGCTGATCATATATCTACATATCAGTCAAGGATGATACTATACAGCAATTGTATAATAAGCTTTCAAGGAAGTCGAACACAGGTTTTCACGGAAATCGTGTTGGTCCTGGTTGGATCAAGTACAATTGGAATGACACAATGTGGAATTTGGATGATGGTTTTAATCCCTCTGCATCCACCCGCCCCTTCCTTGCTAAAATGCCTTATACAGAAAGTGACTACACCATTTTTGTGTGGAGGCATAAGGCACCCTCTACGTCTCAACAGCCTACATTCGACATAACACCAACACTGCACGTTCACGATCCCGCAGCCCAGCTCCCAGAGCCACCTGCGTATTGCAACCTATCATTTTACTTATTCAGCTCTACACGTGTAAATTCTCCCCGTCCTCGGTCAGCGCGGAGCGCCAAGTCCCACAAGTCTAGGGCACCACCAGATGCCGAAGGGATCTCAGGGGTTGCGAAGCACAGAAGAGATTTTGAGAGATTTCATAGCGAAAACGGTGTACGTACTGTTTTGGGCACTATCGGCCCAGTCGACAATGGTAGGCAAGCGCTTGTTGGGTCTTGCAAGCACATTGAAATTCAAGATCTTTATAGTCCGCATGCTCCTAAAGAACGGTTACCGTCACGTCTACATTTCACGCAAGTTTGCGCTGAGGCATGGGTTTATTCCAGGAGACGCAGCACCAGGGCACTATGGCTACAGTGGCCTCATCAACCTTGGCAAATGGCCGATCACCTTGAAGACAGCTGCAGATTTCACTGATAGCACACAAACTAACGACGTCTCAAACACAGCACAAAGTTTGAATCACCTGCAACCCAGCAAGTCAAAGACCGTTTCTGTCCCTGTCTTCTTATCCGAGGAGCCACACTTTGACGTCGTGCTTGGCCGCTCGTTCTTTGAGAAACGCCAAATAAAAACCTCATCCATAGATCCTACTGAGGTCATCTGTCTTGATACTGGGGACAAAATCGAGTGTGAATTGGTCATACTCAAAGATGGTAGGGGTCAGATTGTCACTGTTACATAACATTCCGGTGAATTGGACATATGATATTAACAACTGCTGTACACAGAATAATGCATAGAATACATCACAAGTATGAATTTTGCTCTGACCAGGTCGCCACGACAGGTCCACTGTTCCATGAGAGTGTAACAGGGTCTGGGATAGAATCTATTTCTTTCACATAATGGATTCCTTCATGAATACTCAAAATGCCTATGCCATGCCTATGGATATGAAAGTTCGACACCAACCCGATCATGAGACAATATGTATCACTTACTGTTCCTCAATGTGGCAAGCTATGCTTCGCAGAAGCCTACCAGCACCTACACTTCGTCGACAGAGAAGGCACCGATATGTTCTTGGCGGCTTCCCAGATAGGAGTTGTGATTGCAGTCGCGACTTGCTACCTTCGGAAGCTTGATTGTTGTGTAAGTGATTGTGTTCGAGCTGCAAAGGTTTCAGATGCCAAAAGTGAAACCAAGAACGCAGAACATACACCCTTCCTCCAATGCATGACAGTCTTGCCATCAGGATGACATGCGAAACAGTAAAACGGGGTGCTTGTGCTGTCCATGTGTGCAAGTGTAGCAGTCCGAGGATCCTGACAGCAACTGCGAATGACATGAATGGCAAGTACTGTGGAAGACCTGAATTTCGGAGACCATGGAGAAGAACCGAGCGAATAATACGCGATGCGGGCCACTTGTTCCTTAAAAGAATCATTCCTTTCTCTGCTTGAGCCCCTTGGAAAATCAAGGCTGCAGTTGTGTGCAACAGCATCAATCCAGAAGAAGAGCTGTTCGCATGCGTTGCAGACAAAAACACTGGTCGCAAGTTGGCGAATGTCTCCAACTGGCGCATATTCCTTTGGATACCCATTGGTGATGATTGCAGCGAGCTGTTGATCGACCTGTCTCCGCCAGTTCCTCACTAGGTTAGGGAGAGCAACAAAAGCCGGTAAAAAGGTATCACGCTCTACTACGACATGGGCAGGTAATTTGATGATGTCGTCGAAAAGTTTGAACCGCGCAACGTCAGCGACATGAGGTAATACGTCGACATCAGTGTTTGGAAATGATGCAGGTTCAGCCAAGAAATCGTTCCATGCCTGGAGGAGAATCCTCCGACGAGAATTATAAAGCGTTTCTTCCATGCGAATGGTTCGCATTTCTGACATATATTCCGTTAGAATCGGGCGGATGCGGCTCCAAACTGTGAGATCAAATCATTTACGCAGAACTTGAAAAAAGAATGATTACACCAACTTCGAGCAGTAAGAGGCCGCGAATCTTTGATGGCACGATGTTTGGATATTTTCCACCAAGTATGATAATCGATCTCAGGTTTCCACCCTTCTGTTTCTAACCACTCCTTTATGCTAGAATCGGATGTCAGCGAACATGTGTTAGCTTACGGTTGATCTTACATTTGTTTTCGGCCCTCTCGTATCTGGTGTAACTCATCAGATCGGGCCCTGTTGACTCCAGAGAGCCATGCTTTGCAAGCATCAGCATGCTTCAAGGCCACATCATTTACGATTTTGAAACCCGCGAGTGAAATGTGGCGTACCTCGCGAATAGCACGCACGGCCTTCTTTGTTTCTTCGATGACTAGCGTTTGTTCGGCACAATCCAAGCCGTTGAGCCGAAGGCTGAGAGCCTCGTACTGTGATGTTTGGATCATCTCCGTGAACCCTATCCGTTATCAATATCAACCGGACCGGTGGATGACATATGGTACTCATACGTAAGCGCAAGTCACGGAATATATATGTTGGGAGAAGCTCAGTTAAGTTTGGACAGAGCTGAGTGACGACGGGTTTTGAATATGCTGGCTCCATACTGAAATATAATGTTCATTTAGAGTAAGAACGTGCAAGGGAACTTCGTACTTTATATGGATTCTCAGACACGGCCCGCAATATTTTGCTCGAAACTGCCAGATGATATTGAAACCGATTCCACGACAGTTCTGTACGTTTTGTGTTGAAGGATGTCTTTATGAAAATTATGGAAGATGACCCACGTAACAGTGTGGATCAAATGCAAGGCAAGCGTACTGTGGCTCACTCAGATCTGGTGGACATTCGGGGAGGTTCGGGATAAGTGACCGCGAGGCTCTCCAAATGAAAGCGTTCGATTTTCGCATAAGTAAATTCCGAAAAGCTTTAGAGGTACGAGCTAGATTGAGGAGGTCAAGCGGTTTCAGGAACCCGAAAATCTGTTGCGATAGATAATGTCTGAGCTGGATGTATATGCGCAGGGAGTGAAACTTACTTCGAAAAGAACATCCAAGCTAATGGTGGGTAAGAGGGAGAGCCCTCCTTTCCTGGCTCTCGACCTACTTGGTTTAGTGTCCTGAGTTTCTACTAGTAGGGATTCGGAGCCTTGGGCATCTTCGTATTTGGGTCTCTTCATTAGGTCTGCGACATCAAGAACATCAGCAAAGTACAAACGTAGTCAGCAGTGCCAACTCACGCAAGTGAAGTCGCTTTGGAGACGTCATTGAAAAGGGTGTCACAGGGCCGTGGACCGCCGGGGGACAGGGCGTCCTCGGAATAGTTACTCAGGGCACTCCGCAGGGTAGCTATACACTACCGAACAAGGATAAGGACGGTCTTTTGAAGAAAAAGTATAGGAGGGAGTTCAGTAGAGTCTGAACACGGTGGGGAATATTTAAGTATTGGAGAGAAAGCATGGAATTCGCGCTGCATGATTATATGGTGCTGATTATCATTAACGCATGTCCTTTGTTAACTTTAGCTTGAACAGCACCTCGCTTATTAAGCAAAACTTGATCTGCCGCTTGCCACCTATTTGAATCGTCGTCGTGATAGTGGCAGAGATTATTACCAAATAAGGATGTACACTCGGCTCGAATGAGAAAACGATTATAATACATGCGTGCGTGGCTAAGCCCAGGAGGGCAGTTGTTCCGCGGACCTAGCCTTCCTAATTTGGGATGAGACATATTTGCAAGCTCGAGTACCTCTACAGCAAGTTAACGTCTTCGAGTGCTATCGGAATGGCCACATTTCATACAGCGTAAGTGGCATTTCTGTGACAGCCCTATGCCGCATCACTGTTTAAGGTACCAATCCCATTGCAATCATTAATGCCATTCGCGGCTGAGTATACTAGTACTGCTGAAACTTGAGGAGCTTGACATGTGTGAGAACATCAGAACCTCGAGGTCCACGGCTAACTGCCGAGCTGCATCGAAGACCCGGAGCTCAATCAGAGACTCAACTGTTGAATACTAATCGAGTGACGAGAATATCCAGTAATTGCAAATCTGCAATGTGCCATCGCAACTAGACATAACAGTAATTGTGTTATGATTGCTGTGTGCCCCGCGTCAGATGGAGTGTAATCTCTCGGATGATCCCTGGAAATGATCACACGATCATCGTCCAAAGAGCATCGAAAGGAGTAAGAACTCTTGGGAAATGGCCGTCAAACTCTACTGCTGTACCCCGTGGATGCTGTCAGTGTTCGGATAACAGTAAAATAATTAAATACCGTCATCGTGGGGCGTTTCGCCTTCGCTTCTTCAGAGACTTGCTTCAAGCCCGGTCAGGAACTTTCCACCTAGCCTAGTGTGGCATTTTCCATGCGGGAAGCGCATTATATCCGTCAGCTGGTGGCGTACACTTCGGGAACATGAAAATTATCATTGAGAAGTACTTCGGTCTGAGTCACATGCCACATTCAATAGGGTTACGAACTTACGATGGTTTAACTTAAAGTCTTAGACTAGTTAGCATATTGAAAACTCACCAGCAACGTGCCTTGAAAATTTACGCATGCCTCTTTGCGGCCTGCGCGGCTGCGCGGTGTCGAAGGATCGCGCTCAGTACACAGCGCTGATCCACGTGTCAATTGTACTTCAAGTTTCAGCATCTTATCGACGATGAATCCGAATCACCAAATCTGTGTCTTAGTAGAATCTTCAAATATCGCCATCAACCTTTGATAGTTTGGTGACCGTCAGAAGCGATATCACGGCGTGCGTAGTAGGGTCGTCTAGATCAAGGGTTAGCATTACGTCGTGGAAGAGTTCGTCCTAGAACCGATTGAACCGAACGTGATATTGAACGTTAACGTTGAACACCGTTCGTAAACGAAGTAGGTTCACGATTACAATTTTGTGCAGATGACTAAGCAGATCGCACCCGATCCTTTCAGGCTTGGCTCTTTCCATGGGTGTTCCTTTGGGAAACTGTTTATTGTCCCCTTGACGGTTGTCCGTACCCTAATTCTCGCCTACCATGTCTGGAATCTGTAGACCACGTCTTGCCGAGGAGCGCAAGCAATGGAGAAAGGACCATCCCTTCGTAAGTTCCCCACTTTTTCTATGCATTTGAATGAAGCCCTTTCATTTCGACTCGTTATCTTGCGCCACTTGCTCAATTGAAATATTTACTTCGATATTTTAGGGATTCTATGCGAAGCCGGTGAAAACTGCAGATGGCTCCATGAACCTCATGGAGTGGGAAGTGGGTATTCCTGGAAAGGCTGGTGTAAGTCTGAAACACAACATGTGCGTCATTTACTCATTACTACGCCAACAGACGCCTTGGGAAGGTGGTCTTTTCAAGCTTACCATGACCTTCCCCGAAGGTGATTCACTCTTTGTATTTCTGGATTATCGCCACTGACTAATCATAATCGTGTAGATTATCCGTCTAAACCACCGAAGTGTACGTACAACCAAACCTGACATTCGCTTAAATATGAGTGTATGGCGCACAGGTAAATTCACACCCCCTCTCTTTCATCCAAATGTCTACCCGTCAGGAACCGTCTGTCTTTCCATCCTTGACGAAGAAAAGTCATGGAAACCAGCAATCACCATAAAACAAGTTTGTGGAGTGTTAGTGTCCATGATATCCATCTGATTTTCATGCCATTAGATTCTCCTGGGCATTCAAGATCTTTTGGATGATCCGAATGTAAACGATCCGGCGCAAAGCGACGCCTACACCATGTTCAAGTACGTATTTTTTTTCACTGGTCTATATTGCATGGGAATATCACGGTTTATCTCTCCCAAAGAAACGACAAGGTTGCCTACGAGTAAGTTATCGCGAGACATTTGAAATACCAGCTGACTATCATCCGTAGGCGAAGAATCCGGCAGCAAGCCCGGGAGAATATACCGAAATAAAGCAATAATTATGTGTCTGTAGTTATCTCTGCAATGAGAACATCAGAATCTCAACTAGCGATGTTTACATTATGGGTCTGCTCCTGGCCTTACTGACCTTACTGACCTTGATGGGTGCAAAGATGGCGGACTTACATGTGCGTCCGAGGAATGCTTTGGAAAATTCAACCTGGTGGAGCACAAAAGGGTGCCCCTGATTACATAATATTTCTTGCAGGTGTTCCTCTTGAGTTATTTAATAGTCCCTTTCTGCTTGCTATCTATCATGGTCGCCGAGGCCGCCAAATGTCCTATGCAAGCTGGTGAATCGGTAATTAGCCACTTAGTGACCGGTGGGAAGCAGGTGACTTTCAACGACTCGCAAGACATTGTATTCACCGATTGACATGTAGTTCGTCGGTCACTTCTGTCAGCTCTATTCGAGTCGCCAGTCGAAAATAATTGCCAAATCTGTCGACAGATGCGGCGGCAATCTTTCACGGTTCTTATCACCGTGTACTTTCAGGCTTAAACTTGCAGCTGTGAGTCTCACTGTTGTACCCCTTCAGATCACACCTTTGAATTCGCTAACCTCCAAGCAACCTCCGAGTGCAGCGTCAACCGTCAGCGCCACTGCCGGATCTACTAGTAGGTATGTATATTCTCACATCCATCCTCCGCCGTCAGACAGTACTAAGCCAAGGACATTTTTCTCTCATCTCGCAGGATCTCTGACTCTCGATCGATCAATTCCAAGCGCATGCTCTGATTCATCCCTACCCAATGCAGACTGTGGATGGCGGATTGGGCAATCACCGGGTTCATGAGTCGTCATGATATTTTCTCTTCCACTTAACTAAACGTCACAGTAACGTGCACCTTTCACAACCTCGCAACCTTTTTGATCCGGCACTTCAAGACTTTTCAAGATCCGAATAACCCTATATACCCCTTCATCTCATGCCTCATGTACTATGTCCTGACCACGATCTCCACAGCACCCGAATACCTTGCGTGCCTTCCTGTCCAGGCTAAACCAACGGACACATTCGTAAGTTCACGGGCTGTGCTCGCGTTTTGATAAGGTGTTGCAATGCTCAATCCACAAGCAGCCTCGCAAAGCTGTCTTAATTGGTGCATGTCAGTGACATGTTCTTCCGTAGCAACTGCGGACGCTTGAAACAATAAACGGAGTCGATCTATAACCCGAAATATTCAGACGGAGATGAAGTGGGAGCTCAAGGAAGTGGTTTTGGTTAGCGTGAGATAGCAGATGACAACGACGAGAGTTTGGCGCTTAAGTGGGTTTTGTGTGGATGCGCGCACTATGGACAAGCGGACAAGTAAGTCGCAACGGTGGCGGCGCACGCTGTATGTTGGCGGTGGTGAGTAACATTTTCGCTAGGTTTACAAACCACGTTAGATCTGTCCAATTACTATATCGATTTTGATCAACCGACGGAACTTCTCCATCACTGCAGTACAAACTGCCGACTAAAGTAGCCGCGGAACCCATTTGCTGGATGGTGAATCCGGCAAACAATGTAGTTTTTAGCACTGTGAAAATTATCTACGGGGTGGGTTGTTATCTGTTGTTATAACCACTCCCCGGTAATATGTTACGACTGGTAGTGAACTTGGCTGGGTGATGGTAAGTGCGGTGAATACCAATTCTGGCACGCCATAGTTGCCCTTCTGAGTCTCCTCCAAGTCTCCCACGGATTTCCTAACAGTCAATCTACTAATCCATAGGGTCCAAGCGACCCGAACGGCTCCCGCAGCTTTCACAATGCCAGTTACAGTGTTACATGTCGCGCTACAGCGCGGCCTCCCTACTAGACCAAGCCACAAACCCAGCGTTAGGCGCCGTGCGGTAAATTTACCCATTCTTTTTATATATTTCACTCCCACATTTTGATACTCGGTTGCGCACACTATAATTGCCGGACGTCTTGATATCTACTACAACTGCCATATCCGCTGTCAATGGAAATACTGCCAAGTACTTTGCTCTATCGCTCTCAAATTTGTTTGACGTTTAATTGCTTTTGTTTCAGGTGTTCTTCCAGACTTGCTGCGATATAATTTGCAGTGTGAGAAGCGGATATGTATCATTGGAGCGGGAGCGGGAGGTCTTGCTGCTCTGAAAGTCGTATCAGAGTCCGCTTACTTCAAGTCAGGGAAATGGTCGGTCATCGCGTATGAGACCCGGGAAAAGGTTGGGGGAGTATGGTGAGTTCACACTGCTCCAAAAACATCAACAGTTGCTAAGCACTAGCCCGTTCAGGCTGCCTTCACCGCCAGTTGTTGACGAATACAATGCTCCTGTGACGCCTCTTTATGATTCATTAACCACGAATATACCTCATCCTATCATGGCATATACCAGCTACTCCTTTCCGCCAGAGACTCCTTTGTTTCCGCCAGCACATGTAGTGCAAACGTATCTCGAATCGTATGCTGCATACTCCAATCTTATGCCCCTCATCAAATTCGATACCACAGTATTAGATGCACGATGGGAATCAAATCAGTGGATAGTAACCCTTTCGGATGGCGGACACTTCGCATATGACCACTTGATCGTCACAAATGGACATTATCACTTACCCCGCATACCAGAATTGCCAGGGTTGGCAGATTGGATGAAGCGTGGTAGAGCCTCTCACTCTGCATTGTATAGAAAACCTGATTTTCTTGGGGACAAAATACTTGTTGTTGGAGGCGGACCCAGCGGTGACGACATCGCTGCTGAGATGTGCACAGTTTCCTCGGTGGTTATTCATGCTGTCACGCTCCCTGGCACAGAGAAGAACGATCCTGAAAATCTCATCCGGAGAGGTCGGCTTATCGAACTCAAGGCTAACGGACAAGTAGTTTTTGACGACGGCACGACAGAAGATAATATCGACTACTGTATTCTGGCAACCGGATTCCGTATGCATTTCCCCTTCTTGGAGGGAGCGTCCATGATCATCAACGATATACCACCGGACTTCCCTCCATTACTTCCTGGAAAGCTTTTCAACTCAACCTACCACGTGTTCCCCCTTGCAAAGCATTTATTTCCGCTTCAATCACCGTATCCTATCTCGTCGATCGCCTTCATGGGCCTGCTCATAAGGGTCGCGCCGTTTCCACTCATGGAGGCTCAAGCGTATGCGATTGTGCGAGCGTTTTCCGATCCCTCATCTCTAGATCCTATCGCAGAAACGGTCGGTATCGTCACTCGCGGTGATAAAATTAAACGCGCTGGTGCTTCAACACCTCTAGCCCTCGCCAAGGCCTGGTTCCGATTCGACAAGCAAGACCAGTGGGATTATCGAGACGCAATGTATCAATTTGCGCAGGGCATGGGGTCGGGGACTCCGCTCATCAAAGTCACAGAGTGGGAGAAAGAATTATACGATCTGACTCAGGAAATGAGGTCTGGATGGGAAGATTTGGAGAAGTTGGGAGATTCAATTGAGTGGTTGAGAGACGTCGGGAAGAATGGGGTGCAGGATTGGGTAGAGCTGATGTATCGTGTGGTGGATTACGCCAGGACTCCAAAGAACTCGTTGGGAAAATTGTGATTATAGCGCAATGCGACACGCCTCTCGTGTGCAAACTAACACATTATTACTGAGTAGTATTAGCTCAACTGTTATATGTTATACCTCAGCATACTACTAAGGTAGACGACATTTTGATTCAACCACTGCGCCGCATTGCTTATGTCATGTTTCCCACGGCCAAATCTGCCAGTTGCGATCTTTTCTTTCGCCGTTGCCTTGTCAAAATCATATACGCTGTAGTCAATCATATCTTTCCCGCTGTGTCTAAAGCCTCCAAAATAGAATTCGGAACGACTCGATGTCCGTGATATTTCCTCGTCGCCCAAACTGCTTGTGGCCCTGTAAGACCCTTGGTATATGCATCCATGAACCTTGCGGAACGATTTGCATACCTGGAGACAGCGCCGTTAGATGTGGTTGTTTGGCTGAAGATTGTTTCAAACTTACCTTCGGATCTGCAATAACGGAATATCATCAAGACATGCACTGACATGCTTTTCCATATCTTCCATCTTGTGGACCCGAGGACCCGAGCGATACAGCTTGACGAGTTCTGGTGCTTGGGACTTGACTTTAGGGGGATTTTTATGCAGGTTCTTGAGCCTATTTTTAATGCAGGTCTTTCTGCGACCCATAGCTGGCTTATTGAGATTTGTGAGCCAATCTCCTGGTAGACTTTGCTTCGCATTTTTAGTGGATTATGTAAGATTATATATCACGTGACATGGCCAAATTCTCGACGTCAAATTTATGTTCTCTCATCAGTCTGTGTCTGAAGACTATTCAAGGTGTTTTGGACACTTTTCATAAAAGTCGAAATAACATCACAGGAAATTAAAAAAATTTCCATCATATTGTAGCCAAAGGTATCTGGAATGCATTCTTGCATGCTAATAGGCTCTAATGTGCAGTATGTTTGTGAAATAACCTGTACGCGGAGGTGATACAAAATGTGGCTGGATTTGGATGTCGTCTACCTTACTGTCGTAAAGGAATGCTTCCACAAGATCGGATCGCATGATCACTATCAACCTCCGGCCCGCATCGGAATAGCACTTGACCTCTGAGTGAGTCACTTTCATATAATTAGATGTCATATCTTATGACCAGTATATAAGTAACTCACGGACATCTCATTACTACTAACTAGCATGAGTCCCCAAAGCCTAACATGCCAACTCAGCGGTACACAACTCGTTCATGGTGATCATGGACCAGGAAGTGAAGTGGCTCCTTCCATCTCTGTCACCACGAGTAAGTTCTCCGCTACTTGCTAGGGCAGCAGTTCATCATCTTTGTAGCGTTCCGAAGAGCTGTGCCTTATGACGACCCTGAGAGGCTTGGAGCGATGGATCCCGAGACACATGTCTATTCCCGCTATTCGCAAAATGTCACATCGAGAGTGGAACAGATCTTGAGTAAAGTTAATGTAGGTCTCATTGCAGGAATAATTGGAGCATGCCTTATCTATGCCTTATTTCCTTAGCAAGGACATGCAATCACATATGCGTCAGGATTAGCTGCTGCATTTTCTGTGAGTTGCCATAACATCATGTCGATGCAGCATTGACCAAAGTGACTCTATGTTTTGATAGGCGCTTGTCCACTTTAAACCCAAACGCATTGCAATTTCCGGAGGATATATGGGCTGTCACGGCTCCATATCCACTTACATCAAAGGGAGGTTTACTGATACCCCGATCATTGGCCTAGACGATGAATTCCAAGAGGGAGATCTCTGCTGGCTTGAGAGCCCCTTGAACCCTATGGGCGAATCGAGGCAAGTCTTCGAGCTGTTTTGGTTTCAAAAAAATTGATGATCTAGATCCCTGTCAGAAACATTCAATATTATGCGGACAAGGTATATTTTGAAAGAATACAGATTATCAGCAGGGGCGCTCATTTTCCGTCACTAAGATCCACGCTGTCGGAGGGAAGTTATTGATAGATTCAACCTTTGGTCCTCCGCCTCTTCAATACCCATTCAAATGGGGGGCAGACTGCATATTTCACTCAGGTATAGTAATTTTCATCCCAAGCACGACATGATCATTGACAACATCTTGATCTGTCACAGGAACCAAGTACTTTGGAGGCCACTCAGATTTGCTCTGCGGAATTATTATCGTCAAGACCGAGGCTGAACGTACACAGGTATTTGTTATAAAATTCCCAAACCAACTGAAGCCACATTTTGTCAGCTCTGGCACGACCGTGTGTACATGGGAAATATGATGGGGTCCCTGGAATCTTGGCTTTTATTACGATCCCTTCGAACGATGCATCTGCGCATCCCAAGGCAATCGGCAAGTGGCACGGAAATCGCACAATGGCTTAGCAGGGCCGTTGTTCCAGAGGGTCAGGAATACGATGGTATTCCTGGTGGAGTGGTCACCAAAGTTTGGCACTCTAGCCTTCAGGAGACTGATGCCAATGGCTTTAACCCTTCGGTACAGATGGAAGGTGGATTCAATGCCTGTTTCTCGATCTTGGTGCGTAAACGTGCACAATACATGATTCTGTCCTCATTCGAATAAAAGCTTGCAAAGAAAGAGTACGCGGAGAAACTGCCTCACTCACTGGAGTATTTTGTGGTAAGACACTTCCGTCCGGAAGCAGTGAGCGCGTTGATGACTGATATACCTCAGCCGGCAACCAGTCTTGGCGGTGTTGAGTCTTTGATAGAGCAGCGCATCCAGTCAGATCCGAAGGAAGATCCCCTTCTTATACGCCTAAGCATTGGTGTAGAAGAAGTTACAGTGAGTCTCAGCGTGGCTTACTGGTTTTCTTTTCGTTGAGCATTCGCATCTATGTTAGGACCTGAAGGACGACTTGCGAAGAGCGTTTGTGGAGATATCAAAAGGAATTTAGAGCGAATAGTGCATGGATGTTATACAACTTGTGAAACATAGCTATCCCAGATGACAGCTGAAAATTGGCTGTACAAACTTTGAATCGGAAATGAGTTTGGCTTTATTATTTTCAGAAGGCTTTGCCAAATAGCAGTACACACAATTCATCATTTGGACGCGTCACAGTGATCGCAAGCCGCGTCAGCTACGTTATTAGCATCTTGTATTCAACTACCATGAACTCCATCTTACAGCGTTATTCAGGGTCGAATGCAGGACTTTCTAAATCAACGATAGATGAGGACAATGATTTCTCAGATGCAATGTGGGGTTCTGAGGCTGGCTTCGGTACCCTGGCAAAGGGAGTGCCAGGCTTCGTTGTCCCATCTGTTCCAGACGTGGGTCTACTATTATTGTCCTCAGTGCAATTAAAAACTACGTGTAACTCTCGCAGCCTGCCGCATTCTTGAGGCTACACACCGATGATCACGCAGACCCGTCTTGCAGAATCAAGATCCAGCATGGAACAACCACGCTTGCATTTAGATTCCAAGGCGGCGTAATTGTGGCTGTCGACTCGCGTGCTACCGCTGGAAGCTATGTCGGTATGTATATATCAGGCAGCATTGTTGCTTTTCTAACACGTTCTTCAGCATCTGGAACAGTCAAGAAGGTCATTGAGATCAACCCATACTTGTTGGGTACGATGGCTGGCGGTGCTGGTATGAAATCGACCCATTGTATTTATTGGTTTTGACGTATCCTCTCCAGCTGATTGTCAGTTCTGGGAAACATACCTTGGCATGCATTGTCGATTGCATGAACTCAGAAACCGAGAACGGATATCAGTATCAGCTGCTAGCAAGTACTTGAGCAACCTTGTGTATAGTTATAAGGGAATGGGTCTGAGCATGGTCAGTCTTCATATGCCAGGTTTCCCACTAAGTCCGTTAACAGTTTTTAGGGTACGATGATCTGTGGCTGGGACAAGACCGTTAGTGCCAGTGTAAATATATGGATAACCCACAACTGATTCATGTTGAAGGGTCCAGCAGTATTCTACGTCGACTCTGATGGCACGCGGTTGAAAGGCGATCTGTTCTCAGTGGGGTCGGGAAGCACATTTGCCTATGGTGTCTTGGATCAGGGATATCGGTGGGATCTTACGGACGAGGAAGCACAGGAATTAGGAAGGCGAAGTATTTATGCTGCTGGACACCGAGATGCGTTCTCAGGTAACACTTGCAACCTCTACCACGTGAAGGAGGATGGCTGGAAGTTCATCGGTACGTTAGCAAGACATTTCTTTATGTTCACTGTGATTTACTTTCATGTTCAGGAAACTATGATATCACAAAGCTGCACTATGAAGGACCAGGAAATGTTGCCGGCTCACCTGGTCATGGGTACGGCTATGACCTACGTGTGGAAGGACACAGTTCAGCCAATCCTCCAGAAGCACAGGCACAGGCGTAATACTTTACTGTATAGATGTGTATCCGTAGTAAAAGTCGAACGCAGTGTTTCCACTCATAGCGCACCTCTGAGTTACTTTTCTCGGGGCTTGAAATCAACTCTCAATATGTAATACCTGTTCAACTTTTTGTTGTGACTTCTAAATTGGCTCAAGGCTGGGCTACAGCTCTCACCTTTACGACGTAACGACTCAAATTTAGAAGGGTGGGTAGATATAGTTTACTAGTAGCCACGGTGGAGTTGTGGACCTGACGGAGTCCTTAACTGGCGTGCACGACAGAAGACTTGTACAATCATGAAACGTCTGTTCTCCACGTCATCCAAGAATGCGACTCCTAGTTCTGCCAAATATTCTGCTCCTGAGCCGCCAATGGCTGGTCGTACGGCGACAGCACTTCCCGCAGCTACCACTGCTGGTCTGCAACCGAATTATATCGTTCCTCCAGTTCCACACCCCAATCCTCACGAGCACATTATGTTACTCGCATCGGAGGATGGTCTGCTCATGCGTCCACACTGCGCAGGACTGCCTTACCCTGTGTCATATGTCCGCGTGTCATGGGGCAAGACAACACACATAGCAGAACTGCCCAGCGATCGTGGAAGGCCTTCTGTTGATTGGAAAGAGGGTGTGGTCATCTATGGGATTGTGGGCTTAATGACCTTGTTTAATGGTAACAAAACTTCGTTATCTGTTTAATCGTGATTAAATCAAAACTGAATACTCTCCGGCTAGCCTCATACCTCTTGGTCATAACGTCTCGATCTGACGTTGGGCAATGTGAGCGACTTCTATCTTCGAACATAGTAAGACTCACATGAAACTCAGTGTTTGATGCCTCACACCTGATTTATGGGGTGAAAAGTGTTGTATCCATACCCCTCGTGAAGGACCGTGCCAAATCAATCCTTTCACGCATGGCATCTCGTAACACGTCTGTAAACAGACCCTCTCTTCTTGTGAGCAATGTAGACGATCTCCAGGTCCCTGATGAAGGGACCTCGGGGGAGCCTCGCGTGAAATTTGCAGACGAGGAGGAAGTGAAAATCCTGACTCCACGCGATCAAGTGGAATTCTCCGTTAATAACACTGGTCGACCTGCCTCACCTGCCAGTGTATCATCCGGTGCTTCAACTCCTGCTTCCGATATGTCGATGACCCATTCTCCTGTATCGACGATTGCAAATCGCATGTCGTTCTGGGGCCGTCTATCGAAGCGCGCATCGAGCACATCCGAAGGAGCAGACATAGAGGAGTCTCTCCTTGATGAACGAGAGTTGTTTGATTCCATAATACACGATGCTGCGGGAGTACCTGACAAGGTGATCAGTTCCATCATAGCTGCAACTGCACCACCACCGGATAGCTCAGAGGAGCGTAACTCTGAGCTCGAGGCACGCATTTTACGCGGATGTCTCAGAGAATTCACGAAAGGCGACATGTACTTTGCTCTACATTTCGGTGAGTGCACGCATCGTCGCCCGCCAGACATGCAAGTCATTGCTTTCTTCAGACATCACAAGATCTTTGCAACACAAACATGAGCAATTCACCAAGATGCATACTCAAAACAAGCTACTTTCGGAACTGGATGCTCTTCCAAAAGATACGAATGTTAACCCACTAGACGACAAAGTGGACGCTCTCTTCGAGCCATCTGTTATATTACCATTGTGGAGACGGGTCGACCGTCATTTTTGGTGGAATGAATGGTTATCCAAGCCATTTATGGACGCTGGTGTAAATGCCTTGAATCCAACATTCGTTTAGCATTGACTGATCGATCTAATCCTCAGCTTCACTCTTATGTGACACCGATAATGCAGGGATATATTCAGATCTCCTCGTTTGATCAACCCAAAGATACCTCCGCCATGCAAGATGATTCAGCGGAGCCCGTTGATTACATAGTTATCTCGCGACGCTCCAGAGATAGGGCCGGTTTGCGATATCAACGCAGGGGTGTGGACGACGAGGCTAATGTAGCTAATTTTGTGGAAACGGAAGTAATCATGAGAGTTCAGGTGAGCAGTTCAGTTTCTACTATTCCGCTGAGTTTGAGGCTTCTCAGAGGAACGGAATAAGCAACGTTTTTAGCCATGTGCAAATTCGAGGCTCAAGTAAGCAGTTGTTTGTTGAATACGCAATGCATTGCATGACCCGTTCCAAGTTCCGCTATTTTGGACGCAATCAGGTTACAGTATGAAGCCACCTCCTGTCCTTGCACCCGAAAGAAACCCTGCGCAGAATTTGGACGCCATCAAACGCCATTTCCGTCGTGCTGTCCCTGTGTACGGTCCACACGTAGGGCCCGCAATCGATATCTAATATCACGTCATTCACCTTTCCTTAGACCATTGTTAATCTTGCAGAACAACATGGGAAGGAGGGAATGATTACAAATGCGTATCGTGAATATGCAACTAAATTGGATGCTAAGGATGTTCGGTACGCTCACAATGACAAATTCTGATGGCAGAACTCGAATGTTGTTACAGATACTGCGAATTCGATTTCCACCGCGAAACGAGGGGACTGAAGTTAGTATCATTTGCTTACGGATAACGCGTTCCTGATATTAGCAGGTACGAAAACATTTCCAAGCTTATCAATCAACTCGAACGTGTGTTTGAAAACCAAGGGTACGAATATTCTGTCATCCGACTTTCTTCGACATTACGAGCTCAATAAAATAGGTTCTTCTGGGTTTCGAACAACATGCTCCTATCAAAACAGAAGGGTGTATTCAGGGTTAATTGTATTGATTGTTTAGACCGCACTAACGTTGTCCAAGTGAGCCGTAGGCCCCACCCCTGTTCCCCTTTCTAACATCAGCTACAGTCTGCCTTTGCAAGGCATGTGATGAGCATGCAGCTTGAGGCTGTAGGACTTCTGAGTCCTCCCCAAAGCGGAAAGTCGGGAGTGGAGGTTATTTTTAATGATGGTTAGTGGTTGTCATTCTTTTTGATAACGGAATCATAGAGAGTTGCATAGTCTGGGCCAACAATGGTGATGCGATCAGTCGCGCATAGTAGGTGTAAAATGATTTGTCGGAAAGCTTGCTCTTACCTTAGTCCTCTCTTGAAGTGCTGGTACATCTGCCTTGAAGGTAAGTGCTTGATTCACTTCTAAAACCTAACTCGAATGAGCTGACTGTCTATCGGTAGGGTGATTTTACCAGGTCAGCTAATCCTTCCCTGTATCTTTTTACTATTAACTGGATAAGTCAGGACTGGGAAGCGAGACTTGGGGGGTATGCTCAACGATGGTGTAAACTCCCTTGCTAGAATGTACAGCGCGACCTTCAGCGACTGGTTTTGTCAAGCTATCATCGACTTTATGCTTGGCTACAGGACTCTCTCTGTTTTCGAAGAATTTCTCATCAAGTTACAGTCGACTGATCCTAGAGAACTCATTCGTTTGTCAAGGATCAGAGCAGAAGCTATAGCAACTTCTGTCGCTCGCGTATTATCTGAAGGCGAAACTTTGATATCTGGGTGGACGATCTTCAGCCCGGAGCAATTGAATGTCAAATTCGACGATCGATTCGAGGAGAAAGTGTTACTCTTAGTGAGCATCAGCCATGATTTGTTCAGCATTATTCTGACCATGAGCTAGAGTGCCCGCGCTCTGTACATTGTCGTACGTCGTCCAATAACGCGTTAGAAATATCTGACTGTCCCAAAGAGCTATGACTACAGCTTGGAGAAGACCAAGATGTATATCTGCGTCCCTTTGGGTGCGATCGCACGACTCGAGAAAGGTCACGTTGGTTTTTGTTAACAGGTCAGGTAGCTCAATTGTCAGATAGGCGCTTATATCATCTCTCCTCTGGAAGAGGCGAGCAGGGATCCAGTGCAGAACGCTGGCTTTTCGATTTACTGGCATGCCAGTAATAAAATTAGCATGCGCATGACGAGTTATTCAATCAGAAACTGTCCGGAAGACGCCCTGACGAGGTCACCGCCAGCGGTATCAGCCAGTAGTCCCACTCAGTACAAGCCGACGCTACCACGTCGCGAGCCAACGAAGACCGCCAACCTATCAGGGATCATGTCTAAAGTTTCGGAGAACGCGGCTGGTGCGACCAACGTCTGTTTTGCAGCTTTCAAAGCCCTCCCAGTAGACCCTGCTCGAGTTAGAAGTGGATCCAGCACTGGATATGCTGAGCCTGCGGATGATCTCGCGGGAGCGACTACTTGCAAGCAAGTCGTTGACATGATGGTAGACAGCATTAAACGAGCTTGTGAGGATGCAAGAAATTCTCCTGTTATCACGGACCGCGATGTAGTCAGGTGGGTAACGCGCCGATAATGCTTCTATGACATAATACTCATTTCGAGAGCAGTCTCACTGAAGCTCAAAAGATGACCAGTATCTATGCTAAATTGGAATATGGCGTCAAACGGTTAATTTGGTTGGGAGGTTTGGTGTAGTAGTAAGGCGAGGTTTAGTTTTATGTAATGATTTACTTCGTGGGCTCTTCGCTATTAGAATAGGCAACACAATGGCAACAGCCCTGAGACCGGTCTGCCGTCACTACATAGCAAACCACTTGGCTCTTGTCCAATGGGTCCAAGCCATATGGTGGACACTACCTACAATAAGAAGACGTTCGATCCAATGGCAACACAATGGCAACAAACTGACTGAGACCGGTCCACTCTGCAGTCAGGACAAAATCATAATAGATGTAGTTATTTAATAATTTATATAATTTCTTTCCATAAAATAATGACGGGCAACTTATATAAGCGTTACGGAGGACTTGCAAGTCCCCAATATTGTCACAAGTCCTACAAGCTTCTTTGCTACCACAGTCACCACTTCACTACTTCTATATCAACATGGTTCATCTCGTCACTTCCGATAATGTGGAGTTCGTAGTCGACAAGGAGGTTGTCGAGCGCAGTGTTCTCATTAAGAACATGCTTGAAGGTACTCTTCTTTTTATCTTTGCCGTCCATAGGAGTAAATTTGATCTTTCTCAGATGTTGGAGAGACCGATCAATCTATACCCTTGGCTAACGTTTCCTCTGCCGTACTGAGGAAGGTGAGCATCCAAGATATTTACTGATCAAACATTTTCTTTGCTCTATAGCCACGTGCTCACACTCCACTATTGCACAGGTCATAGAGTACTGCGAACACCACAGGGGTGAACCCTTGCCTAGCGCAGACGCCGACCAGAATCAGGATGAGACCCGCAAGCGGACAACCGATATCAGCGAATGGGACCAGAAGTTCATAACTGTTGACCAAGAGATGTTGTTCGAGATCATCCTCGCTGCAAATTACCTCGATATCAAGTCGCTGCTGTGAGTCACAAAGATGATAGTTACAATACTCGCTCTTACCACCTTCAAGCGATGTCGGATGCAAAACGGTTGCTAACATGATCAAGGGAAAGACCCCTGACGAAATTCGTCGTCTCTTTAACATCGTCAATGACTTCACTCCGGAGGAGGAGGTATGTTTTGTTTGTCTCTCCCACTACTACCACCAGCTAAATTTTGATCAAAGGCGCAAATCAAAAAGGAGAACGTAAGTCCCAACTATCTAACTCTTAAAAATCATCTCAAGTCTTCTTCAGGAATGGGCAGAAGACCGATGAGGGATCAGTTCATAGAGCTTACTGTACCAGCTATCTTTCTATCGTCGTGTCATTACCAGTTTCCATCGTATTACAGTTTGATTTGTCCTTGTAGTTTTCAAGTTCCTATGGAACAATAATCTTACGCAGCGTGCCACAAAGGCTGGCATGTGCTTACATAAAGTCACAGCTACTTTCACAAGTCAAACTTACTTCAGTGAATTTTGTCCTCCTTTCTGTCTCGTTTATGCCACGGATCCCAACTATACCAGGAGCTGTCATTTCGCCACGCTCTGAGCAAGACCGGTGGTTGAAGGGTCATGTAGCGAGACTTTGCCAGCTGGATCATGAGCGGTACAGTGCCTAACTGACATACGGTCGAGAAGTTCATAACCTTGTTTGTCCTTAGATTTCCTGGTAGTCAACCAGTTAGTTTTGCATTGGAGCATTTGCAACAGCTGGAACATCGCGAGTGAGTAGAAGACGTTGTCAGTATGAAAATCAGTCTGCCGACACCTCTCATCCGTTCTGGCCAGTTACTGGGTGTGCGAGAAGTCTGATGGTGTTCGCGTCCTTTTCTTCCTCCAAACAGACCTTACATCAGGCAGTCAAGCAGTTTACCTTGTGCGCGTCCTCCTTGGCCTCTATACACCCCTTGACGTTACCTAGATCGACAGACATAATGATTATTATGAGGTTCCAGGATTCTGGTTTCCTCATCACGAACGACGGAAGGAGCCTTTGAGAGATACCATTGTTGATGGAGAGCTCGTCATTGATGTAGACCCTCGCACCAAAAAAGTAAGCAAGAATTGCAACACCGTTCGACGCTTGTGTTAAAATTTTCCTCAGGAAACATTGCGGTTTCTCGCGTTTGACTGCCTTGTGGTTGATGCGCAGAATGTCATGTCGCGAACATTGGACAAACGATATGGTGTATGTACTCCATATCATCAGCCCATAGATCTAGGTGCTAATTGAGTTTGTAGCGTCTCAAAGAATGGTTTTTCAAACCCTTCTCAATGATGATGCAAGAATTCCCTCACATGGCTGTCAGCCAGGCTTTTGAGTGCGTGATCTGACTCGGAAGTATGACTGTTTCTAACACGTTTATTAGCATCAAGGTCAAGAATATCAGCTTCTCCTACGGCGTTGAAGAAGTGTTCCAGGTAGTCATTCCAGCACTACACCATGGCAATGACGGCCTCATTTATACCTGCGTGGAGACGTCATACGCGTCAGGTACTGATCCAAATATGTGAGTCTGTTAGTCATGGCTATGGGACGATACTAATTTCAATTCCAAGACTGAAGTGGAAACCTCCTTCCGAGAACTCCATTGATTTCAAGCTCGTGTTGCGGTTCCCTGCATTAAAAGGTAATCTATCGAAGCCAGACTATCACGCGAAACCATTCTTCGCACTTCATGTGTACTGTGGCGATGAACAAGGACGACCGAAATACGAACCTTACGATGAACTCTTTGTTGACGATGATGAGTGGGAGATGTAAGGACTTTCACCCAATATTTTTTGCAGCTGACGGATAAATCTGCCAGGATGAAGTCATCAGGCGAACAAATTGATGACAGGATTGTCGAAGTTCACTGGGATCCTGTTACTTCTCATTGGCGCAAGATGCGCTTCAGGGACGATAAACCCAATGGCAACTATCGGACGGTAGTTGAGAGTATCATCCAAAGCATTGCTGATGGAGTCGAGAAGGATGTGGTATGCCATTTATGCGCTGCTCGGGAATCATGTGCTTAATTTCAATTCAGCTCCTCGAGCGCTCTGCGGTAATAAGACATGCCTGGAAAGCACGCGCTCGGCCGCAGCAGCCCTCTCAGAGAGGGCCAGACATTGCCACACGAATGCCATCAAACGGGCCCTCACTAGGGCATGCCCCAGCACCAAATGTTCCATTAAAATATGGCCCTCTCGCCACTTCGCATTGGAGCAGGGTGTCCGGGCCCCCAATATTTGCTGGCATGCAACGTTGATCCAACTCACGCATCGGATCGCACTCTATCATGATAAGCAACCGGAATTACAAACCGTTTGTACGTCCATCGGGTTGTTATCGCCTGTCGCACCCACCCTCCATCAGATCGCCCGTGAAACAACTGAGTGACATCTCGGTTGTTGTTCCGGGGAATGCATCTCGCCGGATATGGACATGTGGAATCGGCTCTACACAATAGCTGACCTCGCTTGATACCCAAAGAATGGAACGCCTTTCGATTTGGCACTATCAATCTGTTTCACTTGATACATTCGTACAGGGTATTGTTTCAATATCAAAAACATGAAGTGTACAAAGTCTGGGGTGACTGCAAGTACACTAAGTCGTAAGTTGAAACGTCGTGACGGGTCGTTAAAGCACAGCCAATATGGATTCGGATGGAAAGCATTTTGGGAACAAGATCGGTGGAAAGCAGGCACGCATGCATGTCTAGTCGTTACAGATGGTGACGGAGATAGGGAAGCAACAAGTACGTAGCGCTTTTGAGTTTGACGCCATTATGAGCGCGAGAACGGAGAGAATATGTGGGAGCGTAAAAGGCGTTGCTTAGGCGTAAATCGTAAAGCTCTGGAACAGCAGGCAAAAAACAGCTTTCCACTGGAGAGGTAAAAACAAGCCTCGTGTGCCCAGTCTGAAAAGCCTCGGAGATGTACGCGTGAAATTACAAACTGTGGATGGTATGCAAAAGATGCGATAAAAATGAGGTTGAAATGGATGAAATCTGAAACGGAGAGTTATGGGGTGGTGTCTGCCGGTGGCGGCGAGGATGTAGATCCAGAGCGGACGGGATTTAAGAGCGGGAAATTGGCGAGAACTCATTGGAAGATGTTCTGGTCGAGGGAGAAGGAAGAGGCTCCGTCGGAAAAGTGATGAACATCATCTCCGAAGTCACGACACTCTGCGAAAGTGTAGGAGCGCAGTCCGAAGAGCGCGAATGAAGGCCGCGAGATCACGCCTATAGCAGGTAGCGCAAATTCGGAAGGAAGTTCGAGATTATGGGAAGTAACATCTGCATCAATCATACTGAAGCGAATGCTCTCCAAAGGAGCTTCGGGCATCTCGGGAGTGGACTCGAGGGACGAAACCGAGGAGTCACGGCCGTGTCTCCTGCCGGTGGGAGAGTGAGGAGCTATGGAGAGTGCAGCAAATTGACTCATAGTAATAGACTAGATAGTGATATCGACGGTCAGACACCATCATTATCGATAGATAGTATCAAGGTCTTACCTGGGCGAAGTCTATGGGGGGAAGGTCGTGCAACATGAGCGGGGGCGTCTGTGGACTGTTTGAAGAGCCCGACAGGGTAATGGCGCCGCCCGCGGAGACATACATGCTGTCTTGTACTTCCTGATCTGGTTCAACCTGGTCCTGGGTCGCATCAAGGTCACGTTGTCCATCAGAAACCCGCCACCACTCAATGTCCGCGAGGACCCTACGTTCAGTCGCTTCCGAGTCAGAGGAACGACGAGAACCATGACCTGCAACACGCGTACGAGCGTTATTTACACTACCATTTGATAGTGAAGTTGGGTATGGGTTCGAGCGAACTGACAGAGATGAAAAAGAACGACGAAGGGAAGGCATTGAATGGGTGCAGTGATGTGACTACGAGTTGAAGGACCTTCCGACCAGAGATTTTAGGACCAGGAGCTGCCTGCCGCAGAGCCCACTGGACGATAGCGAGGATGAGGAAGACAAAGATTGTGGGAAACTAAATATTCAGGGTTTTATAATTTCGGATAAATCATTTAAATGTGACCAAGGGACGATGTGAAGAGTGAGCGTCATGAACTTTTGTGAATGTTTGAAGTGGTTCACAAGAAGACGCTCGCTGGCAGCCGTCACATCAAGGCACTTATGACAACTATTTACATACTACTAACGGTACTACATATACTGAGTCTAGCTAAGTTACCTACATGGACTGCGCAGTGCGCAAGTACTTGATGAACGGGCCCGAGAAAGGCATAGGCAGAATCATCTTCACGACGAATGTTTGATACGAACTACAAGGATCATTTAGGCGCGCAACTGTCAGTCCCACACAGCCCTGCTTGATCACGTACCCTTTGATAACGATGTCGGGAGACCTCGTCTACTAGTATCGGGCCTGGTTCATGCCAAGGTCTGGACTTTAGCCTGCTAATCGGCTTTGTACATGATAAATTTGGTCAGATCAGTCGATAAGCCGGCCGAGAGAGATACTTATAATACAGTGTTCACGCCAAGTAAGTCACTCAATCGAAGACTCGTGCACCTCTTTTTCGGTCCCCTCTTCGCACTAGCATCAGTGTATTCGTCACAGGACCAGCTTCATGCACTTAATTCCCGTGCCATGCTTGCTGTTTCCGTACGTCGGAATCGCATAGGCAAGAGGCATTGTCAGTGAACCGGCTAATTCGCAATCGCAAAATTATAGTCGGATCTCAAGCGTGTCTTCGGTACTTATACCCTAGCGGCTCATGCTGCACATCCCCACAGTCATCTACCCACCCATACTACTGCTAACGATGTGCACCGTCTACTATGGCCCAGTCATTAACCCCCAATCACTCACTGACTACCTTGCTCTTCCTCAATGCTTAATCTGCGTATCCCCACAGGGTAACATCGAATGGCTCGTTGAGGATGTAGAGAGCACAAAGCTCAACGATGTCCTCTCGCAGCATGATTATGCCCCTTCTGATATCACTCTCATTCGTTTGGATGATGGGGAATTCCTCATGCCTGGCTTGGTTGATACCCATACAGTTCGTCCAGCACCTTACCAGAGCGTTCATATCTTGACCCATTCGTTTGTACCTGTAGCATGCTTGTCAAGTCCCTAATCTCGGCGTGTAAGCATTCTGATTCTATTATGTCCGTCATATCCTTATGCGCGTCTTTCAGTGGTGGGGAGTTAGAACTCCTGCAATGGCTCGACAATTACACGTTTCCGACGGAAGCTAGGTTCAAGGACGTCGCATATGCCAAACGCACTTATCCTCATGTCGTACGGCGCATAGTCAACTCGGGTGTAAGCGATCGCTTCATACGCTTAATCATCATGTTGACGCTGAATTAGACAACGACATGCTGTTATTACGGTAGTTTGCATCTAGAAGCAACCAAGGTTCTAGCCAGTCTCGTCCACACCGCGGGTGAGTTTACCCCATGTTGTCGCATCCGAACGACTAGCTGAGACGATGGAACAGGTCAAAGAGCGTTTGTCGGAGTACGTATCCTTCTGGAAAAGCTGCAACCAAATGCTAATTGCTTGATTTGCACATCAGAAATGCAATATGAATCGGAATTGTCCACCTAATTACATCGAACCGTCTGTCAAAGAATCTGTCGACACCACCTTGGCTTTAATCAACTACATCGAAGAGCTACCGAAAGCTGTTGACGGCGAGACATTGATACATCCCATCCTTACCCCGCGTTTCGCTATCTCATGTACCGAGGAACTCTTGACGCGTCTCGGCGAAGTCGCGCAGAGCAACCCAGAGCTTGCCATTCAGACTCACATCTCTGAGAACAAATCCGAGGTTGAACTGGTTAAAAGCCTGTTCAAGACTAACAGTTACGCAGAGACGTATGACAAGTTCCATTTACTTCGCAATAACACCGTTTTGGCACACGGCGTCCAACTCACCGAGGATGAAATGGTGCTTATCGCTAAACGTGGCTCGGGGGTAGCACATTGCCCGACAAGCAACTTCTATTTGAGCAGTGGCATGGCTAGAGTCGGCATGCTCCTGGATCATGGTGTGAAGGTAGGTTTTCCGTTTCCCAATAACTGATTGCTATAACTGACGTTTCTCTTCGATCAGGTTGGATTGGGCACAGATCTCGCTGGCGGCTACTCCCCGTCCATACTCACTGAGATCCAGCACGCCAGCATCGCATCCAAGATGCTCGCTATACAAGCCGTCGATAACAAGAAATGCAAGTGCAACGGAGGCCACTCGGAGTCATCGTCATCAGGCGAAGAAGACACCCATTCGCGCGGTCGTCATGGTCACAAGCACCACGAACTTCAAGGTGGTGAGAAGCAGCCTGGACGGTTCACCAATCAAAAACTATCTATTGCTACTCTCTTGTACCTCGCTACTCTCGGTGGGGCGGAAGTCTGTTGTCTACAGGACCGCATCGGCTCGTTTGAGCAGGGAAAGGCGTTCGATGCTCTCCTTGTGAGCGTCCGAGAAGGCGATACGGGGAACCCTGCGGTATGGGGCTACAATCCTGACCGCGACTTGACCCATGGTGTCACCGCGCAGAGCGCGGACAACAGCTTGGTAGAATGGTTGGAACGCTTCTTGTTCTGTGGGGATGACAGGAACATTAAGAAGGTGATCGTACAAGGAAGGATGATTGGTGGACGGGATTACCATCCGTTACGGTAAATACTCATCAGAAGCGAACTCGGATGCATAATTTGGATGTATACCTACATGGCTATAGCAGTAATATACAACAGTCCCTTGGAGACTTTCTTGTGCTCACGCCAGTGGTGATTGATGATCCTTGATACGTAAGAATACAAAGCATGATAGATACAGCGGCTGGTGATATATATATTATCCATCCTTATCCTTCTTGTAATCTCCAAATTCCCATTTAAAACAGTCCTATGAACAAGGTGTCAGTTGAATGAAACATAATGAAAGTACTCCCAGAACACTAACCACACAGTCCTCTTCTTCGCGGGCTACAGGTACATCCCATTCATTCCCGTCTTCATCCGGCCAACCGTCCTGCAGGTCCAAAACTTCTAGAATGACTTCCTTAATGACATGCTTACGCAAGTCAACATGCCACCCCAGTTTCTGGACAGTATCATACACGATACTCTTTCCCAAATGACATCTGGTTTCAAGAGCATAGCCACCCTGAGCGCATGGCGAAGCAACACCAGTACACGCTCCCTGAGGTATCGGATCGGCATTATGGTATACATGTATGATAGGCACCGGAGGTCGAGAAGAATCTCCGATAGGGGGCGGAAGTGGGAGGTGAAGACGATTCGCTGCCATCCTTTCACCAGGAGCCTCGAATGCGACAGCTGGTAACCCAAAAGTGGAACCAAGGAGAGAAGCAAGACTTCCTCCGAGACTATGGCCCACAAGCCATACGTCAGCGAAAGGGTATAGAAATATCACATCTTTCACGAGTTTCTGGGGATGCGAGGATGTTAATCTTTGTGGTGGTTCATGCGGGTGATCGACTTACGACGCCCGTGGAATAAAAGAGGCTGTCCTCTATGAGAGCTTTGGACAAACATGTGTCGTCGCATCGTTGATGTAAAGCTGACCAGGAATAGCAGTCGCAGACTGTAGAGAACGTCCATGAAAAATCAACGCGGGCGCAACAGCACGAGAAGAGTAGATTATCGTTGAGTTTATCTTTCTTTGATGTAGGTCCCTGAAGCGTGGTTCCTTTGATTGAGAGTACGACTGTAGACCTGTCTCTAGAAGTGAAAACATGGCCACGGAATCCGTCTTCGTCGTTATCCCACCCGAATGGAAAGCTCTGGAAAAGGGTTGTTAAAAAGTGAGCATAAGTAGTAGGGAGACGCACTCACAGTATTGACGTCCCAGGATGAATCGAGGTCGTACCAGTTCTTGTGGCCTGGAAGTTGGTACGCATTGGCAGTCATGCGTGCCAATTGTGAGAGGGTATGCCTGTCTTCTATGTCTGGTCCTGAGACTACCTTCTGTTCCCATTCGATGGGCTCAGTCTCGGCATGAAGAAGTGACCGTAACCGAGCGTGCTCGTGAGCATCAAGAGATTTCGGGCGGTAGACAGTTATTGGTCGGGTCTTTAGAGAGATTGCAGGTGGCTCAGACGGCGGTATAGGATATGCAGCAGTGAGAGGGAGTTGATCTTCTGCAACAGGAAGAACGAATTGATTGTGGAGATCGAAGTTGATCCGGTTTGGGACGACAGTTGCGTCGGAGGCGATAACAACTTGAAGGATGTGAAGGAGAGTTGTGATATGCAACAGATCAGAATACATGTTACCACCAAATATTGTGATAAATCATCGAGAGGGTGTCGGTGGGTACTTAAGACAGTGACTCCTACTCTCCTGCTTTGCTCTGCCGAAGTACTGTGTCGATGTAGTCAGACTTTAAGGTACACGCTCAGAGGCTGTTCGAGCAACCACGTGGACCGCTAATGGCTTTATCTGATCATCTTGCTACATCTAGCCGCTGGGCGTTGCCAGTGGTATTAACGTCGTGTTTAGTCAAAGACGATGTCACTACATTTCGTTGATACTTTTGGGATAGTAGGGTTATTTATCCACCCGCCCTTCTTTGATCCACCCACGACGCGCTTCCGTCCGAGATCGAATAACTGTGTTATGATACCAGCGGAGGCCAACCATGCGAATACGGGGGTGATTCTCATACTACGATGTTGGATAAGACTCGAAGAAGCAAACTGCTTGCAAGCCATCGAGGTCTCCAAAGCCTGCTGTGAACGTGTACCTGCCAACCATAGGGTTACCCCCAATATTTATTAGAGTTCTGTTGCTCAGAAAAGTCCCGCTGGCACAAGATGAGTTGGATTCGACCTTGAGGGGCCTAACGGCATGTATCCGAAGGTTGAACAAGGCAGCCCATGCTGGGTGCCCCAATCGACACTGATTACGTTCAACCTTATGGATGATAAGAGCGCGAGTATCGGAGATCACGGTAAGCTGCATGACAGATACGCCGGTGTTCCAATGTCCATCGAGCTCCCGAAGCGAAGGACTGAATTTGTACTGCTCAGGTCAAGGGTCGGATGACCTTCAAATGCATCTATGTTGATAACAGGGTTGTCAACTTGTCCTTTCCCGAGGTTTCTAATCTTTATGGTGTGTCCCGTACATCAGGTTAAAAGCCCAGAAGATCCGTTGCTGTTTGCGCGACATCATGATGTTGCTGCAGGTACAGATCTTCTGAACTTTTTTCCCGTCGATGAATACCGCAACGATTCCGTGACTCCTGTCCAGATCACCAAACCACTCGATACCAGTGCCCACGAACGTCATCCGGCGGGGTAGCAGCTCCTTTCTCATCGGTCCGATGCAGGGTCATCGTAACGTACATATTGTCAAAGGAGTTGAACCGAGAACCAGTGAAATGGATGAGCGGAGATGATGAATCGTAGTTTTTACTCCTGGCGGGACGTAATAGGTATCCGTTCTTGTATCAGAGTCGCCTACAAGCTTAGCGTAGAATTCTCAAATGTCAAGCTTCAAGGATGATCGATGAGGCGTGGACCCGGTCACCCAGTACAAACATCTGCACTACGGCTATAACGATCCGCATAATGTATAGAATGGTCATGAGAGACCAGCGCTACCTCTGCCTCGAATTAATTGCATCATCCAGTTGGCTTCTGATGTGGGACACTGCTCACCCAGACCACTTCAATCTATGAAACGATTCTGAGCAAGATGGCTGCTCCGGTGATGAGATCAATCTACCTCTCGTCCAAGTGTCAGTACTGGATATATCAGTAGTTTTTCGATGTGTAATACTTTGCTTACCCCCATCGTATACTACCAAAGTGGAGGATGCCACTGCGAAACCGTACTCCAGGTTAGATCGAGACACCACCGTCATCATACAACTGGCTCTCCGCGTACCTACAAAATAGGAGCCCAAATAAAATCAATCAATCGTCGGCCACCAGCTGGGATCATTTAAGACTAGGGTCATATTCGAGGACGAGTAAAAGTGGGTGGGATACGTTGTGGACGTATAACGATGATGTTGAACTAGATTTTATATTCCATCACTCAGCGTTGATATCATGTAATGTGAGACAGGTATTTATTCCTGAGGCTTGAGACCCTTGATTGATGATCGAATGTCGGTAGATTTGTAGTCAGATCTGGGCGTCAGTGATTGATCCTCGATGAGCATCGGAATTGCATTGGCGGCGATTGGCCTCGCTGGCCAAGACCGGGTCGTGATAGCAAGAAATAGAATACGTTAAAACGAAACAAACAGATAACTTACCTGTCCCACACAGACTGTTAACACCCTCTGCAACGCGACCTGTAAGCAAGTCCCTCAATTCTAAAACCCCCTCTAGCATCTGTCACATTGTGCTCACTCAAGCTTCTTTGCTCTCTGTCTCGGTTGTCAGGGTTCATACGACGAGGATGGGAAAGCTATGCACAAACGTTACGGTAAACGTCAAATACACTGATGCTGTGTATTGCCATGATGTTTTGACTCCATCGCACATTGCACAATAGGCAACTGCCACCAATGTAAGCTGGTTCCCTACAAGATGCGGAGTCCGAGAGAAGTAGGCCGCCAATGTCGTAGAACTATAAGAAAAATAGGGGAAAATGCTAGACTCCAGTCTCCAGTGAGTTTGCCTCTACCGTATGTGGGGTTTCTGTCATAGTATCTTCTGAAGTCGTTTCGATACATTTCACATCATCGTCCTGGGAAGTTTTATATGCACGTGCTTAACTGCTAGCCGGGACCACCCCGGGCCATACGTTCATGATTGCAAGGACTCGTCTGCTGGCCATCAGTCGTGCTATGTCAACCTTGACGCGCTCCTCCACATGCTCACTATCATAATTTTCCGCTTGTGAAATCTCAGATGCCCTCATAAAGCTCGGATTCCAAACGGAGGACACATCCCAGACATTCACATGCTCTCCCCAACATCTCAAGTCAAGATCTGTGCACCAGCATACACCGTCCAAATGGTACTCGCATCAGACAATTCAGTCCCAAGGCTCTCCTCCCATTTCGTAGATACCGCACCCTCAGGGTCTGTAGTCGTTGTCGACGCCCCACCTCGTTCAGTTTGTTCAACTCCCAGTTCCATGTCCGAACTTTCACACTCATTTCTATCGCGCAGAAACAAAGAATGCAGTTTGACTGCGGGCGCACAAGCTCGGGGAGCTGTCGGCGCCATTATCTCTGGGTGTTGCAGAGACCTCGCTAAACATCGTGCAGCGGATTTCCCAGTCTTTGCGCGTGGCCATTCAACAGTCGGGCAGTCCCCTTTCGTACGCCCATCTGGTGTAAATGTCACCCTCACTATCCATCCCAAGGATGCTGACAATAGCTCAGATGCATTCGCTTCTGTCACAGTGACACCAGGCGACTGGATCATCGCAGATGAAGATGGTGTCGTTTGCGTGCCAGTGGACATGGTAGACAAAGTCGCGGAACTCGCTAAGAAGGGACAAGAGATCGATGCTAAGTGTGTGGCAGACATTAAAGCTGGAAAGGGCATCCAGGCATCTTTCAAGGAGCACAGGGGCAAGTAGAAACACGATATTTGGGCTCCTTATCCTCGATGCGCATTATACAAGGGGTATTGATAATGTCCATTTCGAGCAGAGGACAAATTCGGCATTCCAACAACAGGTGGTGTGGGTGGGAGGTAGGTCCGGGAAGGCATTCGTGGTGGCGGGCAGCACGATGGTGATCACATGGCATCCGGGACTGCTTTGAACCCTGCTGCCGGAGCTCCAGACGGGCCCAGACCTGGCCTGGGCCAGAGTCCCCGCAATTTGAGCAGCCTTAGGTAACCAAAGTTTGACTGAAGTTGACAAATTTGGAATACTACGTCGGTACAAGCCGATGTCGGGGTTTTAACATGCATAACCGTGACACTACTGATTAAGATTGTTAGTAACCATGTCTCGCAACATGGAACCACTACCCTTTGATCCTCTGTTCAATAGACCATTACTTTCCGAGCTGTTACTTGATTGACTCATTCCACCGCCGGACCAGGCAAGATCTGCAGGATCGGTGACCCAAGAACGACTCATTCGATATGTGCTACTCATGATCAGTATCATCACTGCTGCAACTGAATCATTCCTGGAAACCGCATTGCCAAAAGAGCCTGAACCATATCACACGTCGGCACTCAAGGGTGAAGAATGGCTGATGGAATTGATCGTTGGTCACCCTCAGCGCATCCGCTGTGAACTTGGCGTGCATGCACACGTCTTTGAAAAGCTGATCATGGAACTTCGTGGTCTTGGTCATGGCAGATCTCGCTATGTCTCGCTGGAAGAACAATTAGCTATCTTTCTGTACACTTGTGTCACTGGTTTGACAATCAGACACGTTGGAGAGCGGTTCCAGAGGTCTAGTGATACAATTTCGAAGTGAGTCTTCAATCTACTATCAGTAACATTAGCTTGATCATTTGTATCAGGTATTTTCGCAAGATGTTGTTCATATTTGCATCCCCCCCATTCTATTCTGCGCATGTACACTTTCCCGATGGCAGCACCGTCCCCGACAAGATTCGCCATGACCCGAAATTCTGGCCCTACTTCAAAGGCGCTATTGGTGCCATAGATGGCAGTCATATTCACGCATCTCCTCCATCATGTGATCGCACGTTCTACCGCAACCGCAAGGGGTTCGTGTCTCAAAATTGTCTGTTCGCCTGCAACTGGGACCTGAAGTTTATCTATACTGAGACTGGCTGGGAGGGTTCAGTGACGGATGCACGCCTATGGGAGGAAGCTCATTCAAATGGCTTAGACATCCCCCATGAAAAATATCTCCTTGGTGATGCTGGTTTTCCGTCCTGCAAGGAGCTCCTTGTCCCTTACCGCGGTGTTCGATATCATCTTGCAGAATGGGGCCGTGCGAGCATTAGGTACATTTTTTTTTCTTTGCAATGTTTTCAATTCTAATTTCTCAATAGACCTGCCAATAAACAGGAATTATATAACCTGCGTCATGCCTCCGCACGAAACATTATCGAAAGGATCTTCGGTGTCTTGAAACGGCGCTTTCGCATCCTTCTCTTATCGCCCGAGTACAAGATAGATGTTCAGGCGCGCATTCCTGCTGCACTATGTGCAATCCACAACTTCATCCGCACTCACGATGGCCAAGAAGGCCTTCTCCCAGAGAGACGCGACATTTTCGACAACGACAACCCAGAATATCAAGGGCAGCCCGCTGACGTGGCAGCGCAGCCCGAGGTCATCAACAATGCGAATATACTACGAGACCGTATCGCACAAAAAATGTGGGATGATTACCAGTTGATTTTGGCTGAACGAGGTGCCTTAGATGACTTTTCCATAGTAGACATTGATGATGATTACATTAACGACAACGACGACAATGAATTGTAGTGTACATGGTAGATGTATCAAATGAGAATGCATTGTATGTGATATAATGGACTTGAACTAAGTGGCGGCATACTGCTGGATGATGGAGACAACAAAAGCGCGTCGCAACGTTGGGTCTGTGGCATCGATGTAAGAGCTAGTCACTGCAGCGTTCCTCAGAAAGACATTCATAAGTGAGACTCTATCTTCCAGCGACAGGTCATCATCCTGTTCCATCAACATACGGATGGCCTGCCCTCGTTGCTCAGTTGAACGGCTCTCGTCAGTAACAGCCACCTGTTTTACCAATGAATCAGTGAGGCGGTTGAGGGCGCCTTGCATGCCTATCATTGCGACGGCATTGGTGGGCTTGATGCCTCTCCCTCCGCTCTCGTTAACCTCTGAATGATAATTGATGTGTGCGACACTGTGGCTGGAGATCTTGGGTTTCTTGGAGCTTGACTCTCGCTGCGATATTGAGGTGAATGTCGAGGAAGGAGCTATGATAGACTGTGAATGCATGCCGGTAATATCTGAGTGTGCGCGTTTGCCGATGCTTGATGTCCGAGTGGAAGGAGGAATGGGAGCGAGGTCTGAACTTCCAGAAGTAGGCCTGCGGCCATCATGTAGCACATGCCTCCAATCAAGCTCTTGTTCAATGTGGGCATCGGCCATGTGGGTATCCTCCAACGATCCAGTGCCGATATTGGGTACCATGGGTGCTGCAGAATCGCGGTCAGATGAGCCATCCGTGGTGGCAGGTGCTGTGGCCCTAGATGGGTGATAGGCAGCACGGCCTCGAGCGCCACTGCCACTTGGCAGGATGTCTTGCATTAGTACGTGCGAATGCCATCCAATGTTTCGAAAAGGCCGCATGACCTGGTTTGCCTACACACGAGCATCAGCAACAATTATAGACGACGATGTGGACTGACCTTTTTCTCCATATATGCATCCCACACATCACTCGCAGCCTTCCCCTCAATGCCAGCTCCAATCTGATGGTCCCAATGAGTGCCTGATGTCTTGAGGCGATAGTTCTCAATAACATGGTAAAGATTTTTTAACTAGAGATCTTGATATCAGTAGCCGTTAAATAAATATATCAATAACATACCGATTGCCATTTGTTCTTACAGTGGCTCGCAATCTTTGTTGGACCAAGAGTCCTGTGTGGCGCAATGGCAGTCGCAGCCTCAGTGTAAACCTGCGATCTAAAATTCCCGCCATCTCCTATTTTTGATCGTTGCGAATGCAAGTATGTGATGAGGGCATCTGTCTCTGCTTCGTTCCAGACTGCCTTCGCAGCCTTCTTGGGCCTTGGCTCTTGTTCTTGAGACATGAGAAGTAATTGGTGGTGGGCACAGACAATGATTCCGATTATGATCGGTATGATTTGTCTGCGCTGCTCCTGGAGGTTGAAGGTATGAGGTACGTGCTGGTGAAACGAGGTCATGATTGCTCGAGGTCAAGAAGGTTTGAACTCCGCTTTGGCTTGCATCAAGCCGAGACATCTCAAGTTGGCTATTGGCAACCAAAGTTTGCTGAACTTTGGTTACCGTACTAGCTCTTACTAAGAAGTGACGTTTCCCTTTTTGGATTCTAGCAGCAAGCCACGTGACGTGTTGGATCTAGGAGACTGACTGAGATATGCGAGCCATTCTTGTCAAGACTCACCTTGATCCCCACTGTCATTATTATCATTATTGGACTTCTTACTTAGTCCCTACTTCTTGGTACTGTATAGTGATTCACCATCGACACTCAGCCCCCCCCCCGTTACGTAACTCGTTTACTCATAAGGTGTGTGCTTCGCTTTTTGTACACAGCGTTTGTTCTGACTCACGCTGAGGTATGTCTTGATATTCTTGTAGACCTAACTCGTAGACTAATGTACTCTAGACTGACTCGTTCTAGGTACATAGCAATACAGCATTTGTTCTGACTCACACTGAGACTGACTCGTTCTAGTCTACAATCATGTCTGCTAAGATTGCCGGGTTGGATTGGCAACACGTTTACAACGATTTTCTCAAGCTGAAGAATTCCCTTGACTACGAGGAGTTTGAGGAGAAAGAAGGTTCAAATGAGCCTACTCTAGGGCAGCTGGTCGACGAGATGCTCCATCTGTTGGAGTCGAAGCTGCCGAAGGTATGACTCAAGTTACAAAACAGTGTTTTATTAACTCTCTACAGTCTCTTACCTTCTCCGATATGACCATGGAGGACTTGACCAAGTTGAAAATCACGTGTACTGGCTTTATTCGCCTGAAGCCCAATCTTGCTGAACGCATCACGGCGACTACTGCCCTCGGACAGAATGAGCTTTGGTCTTCCGTGTATTTGTCTCGTCACTTGCATTTTTTGGGAGGTCACATTTCTAAAGTATGTCAATGATCTGTGAACCTTTATGTTACTCTCATACTCTGCCAGACTGAAGCAAACGCTCGTGCATGGATTGAAGCCTTCCTCTTCCGTGCATCTGCAATGCTGCCATCAAATACGTGCATGGTACTCAACATGAAACAGGATGTTCCAGCCACGATTGTCAGCCTGTCGAGGTTGTCGACCCTTTCTGGAATTGTAGACTACACTGCCATAGTAGCAAGTCAACACAACGCTAGTGAATATGCCTTGACTTATTTCAATCGCACAGCTCATTTTTTATCTAGATTTCTATGTGAAATCTATGGGCCTTTATGAAATGAAGACGAATATGCCACGGAGCTTCTTCGTTATGGACGCTAAGCTTTGCAATCCCTCAGATGATGTTCCTCAGGCAGTATATAAGATGTTCGCATACGGAAAGTTCCTCGAGTAAGTAAATCCTGTCAACTTTTCAGTTCGAATTTCCAATTCACTATATCTTAGGCAGAAAGTCATCCGTGGTGCTCTGGTCAATGGATCTGACTGGATCTTCATCCTCATGACGCTCAACGACAATTATGACGGAGCCTCCTATAAGCAATCTGTCGCGCTCTCCATGGATCCTTACCACACTCCCGATGACCAGCTAGTGAACCCTGAGCTATGGTCCGATTTAATTGCTGCTATTTTGGCACATTGGGTCAGTTGATTCTAACATGCGTGATTGGATCGCTGATTGATTGGGATGCTAGATTGAAAATAGCTTTGCAGACCTGGGAAGTGATGATTGGTTTGAATCGTCGCTGTAGGTGATGATACTCTGTACAACGTCTTGTGTGCATTCAGATCTTGAGATTCTTGATCAATCACCATCCTTTGGCTTAGTCTTAGCTATGTGAATAGGTTGATTGATGTACAATATTACTTCAGTGAAATTTCCTAGGATACTTGATGAGGGATCCAGGTAAGGCATGTCGGACGGATTCATTTTGGAGTACAAGTGGCGCGCGCACATGGCAGTCACAGAGTTGGCCCCGTCCTTACATATGTAAAATAGTAAAATAGCACAATTTATCAGCATCAATATCCGGATAACATATGTTGTATGATGCGAGCAAAGTAGCAGTAACATCACAAAAGATCACCATTTCACTAGTGTATATAACCCATCGTCATAGGCTTTATTTTCCCCTTCCACATTTTCGATCATCTCTAGCTCAGATACAGACATGCCGAACTCGAAGCACTTCACTGGCGGAGATAGGTGCCTCCCACACACGTATCGTGTTATCGTCCGAACATGATGCAAACATGCGCTCATTGTGGGGATTCCAGGCTATGGAATTCACGCTTCCCAAGCCGTGACCTTCCAGTACCTCTAGTGATGTACCTGTGTCGCGATGCCAAACATAGACATTGCGATCTGGAAATGTTTTGTGAGTGAATTAGTAGGACACTATGAACATTGTTATACCTTCACTCCCACTAATGACGAAGTTGCCATCGATGCCACCAAAGCAACTGCGAATGACATGATGACCCTGTTGTTGCCCAGTGAACTTGTGTGCAAGTCTGAACTCCTTCAAGTCCCACAGATGTATTTCCTTTGATGCATGGTCAGTGAGATGGTTGGGTTTGATACAAAAAGGGGGTAGTCACATCTGGAGCGTGATTGATTAATGCATACTGAGAATCCTCGGAAATCTTCACGCTAGTAAGTTCACCCTCCATGTGAACAGATCTGTGTGCAAGATCGATGAGCAAACATGCTGAAACAAACATGCTTGGACATACAGCTCAACCTGTCCTGTCTTGAGATCGTAGATGATCATCCTATTCTCTTGCGGACGCGGCCCCACTGCATTACCGTTGACGTTGGACACAATGGGTGGAGATGCTGTTGAGTTCGGTCGTATCGGATGCTTCGGACGACACCACATAGTACGAGCGCGACCGTTTGACAGAGGCACGAGAAAAGAGACGTCGAGTGTCACTCAACGTCTAGATACCAATGTTTCACTTTATCATTCTCCTTACAACGCTAATATATGTATCGCGTCAGTTTTACCTTATAAACTTCGTAGATATTGAACGAACATCTCAGTCCCAAAATATAGACTGAGATGTGAGTTGTTACTTTCGAACTTACTTTAGAACGCGCACTGATTCAAACGAGTAGATATTGTCCCTATCTACTAGGTACTGTACATGGACTTAGAGTCCCAAAATATAGACTGAGATATATTGTCCCTATCTACTAGCTCCCTCCCGATCCGCTCGCCTCGAACCTCTAAAGATGCGTCTCGGATGTTGGCACAAGTCAGTGTCCCCAATGCTGCAGGAGGGTTGTATCCCATCCCAATAGCGACCAGGCGTCTCATGTCAGGAGTCACTGCAGCGTCAGTAACACGTATAGCTATATCATTCCATGATTCCCGTGGTTCGCCCTCCATGTCCTGTTAAAGACAAGGTGAGGACCATGAGGTGCGATAACATAAGCCTACAATAAGCATACCCATAATATGATCTTGCGATCGAGGCTACCTGACATAAACCCTGAGCCGTCAGGTAGCCATACCAGGGCAGACACTGTCTCAGCGTGATTCTCGAGTGTCTTCATCAGAGCTCCAGTCTATAGCTCATGAGTATGGCGACACAAGACATAAAACTTCGATGCTGACCTTTGTGTTCCAAAGAAAGATGAGGTGATCTGCGGACGTAGATAAAATAGAGTCGTCTAGTGACCAAGCCAAACAACCAAGAGGACATAGGTGGTCGCGCAAGATGAATTCTGCTATACAATCACGGGATGATGGTTCTGCCTCAAGCTGGGAGGTCAAAAATCAGTATGTTAAATGTTGCAAGTCAGCCCAACTAACCCCAATGCGCCAGATAATAGCAGTCTTGTCTTTACTTGCGCTAGCAAGGTGAGTGCCATCATGACTCCAGGCCACGTCCCACACTTCATCTGAATGAACTTCGAGGATGGTAGTTGTTATTCGAGGGAAGGATTCCTTGTCATATGCGTGGTCACTAAATAGTGAAGATAAAGATGAATCAACAGGTGAGTTGTGGTGGTGGCGCTGATATTCTCGCGACTGTGTGAGAAGAGTGGAAGGGCGGCGTTGAGGATTCACAGTTGAAGAAGGTATATAATTTGCTGCCGGCCCTACAAGGCAAGACGCCAGTAAACATTATAGGAGTACAAGCAGATATTTCCGTCTCATACTGACGTTGTAGATCATCAAGACTTTGTCGCCGTGAAATTCCCGATGCTTCATCCCAAGATGTATGGCGGCGCAGATCTCGTGGATCTGAACACATCATCAAGCTGGACAAGAGTTATCACGAATGTACAATATGAAATGATATGTCAACGAGCGCACCTAGATGATAAGTGGAGTTCCTCCTGTTCAGTCTGTACGGAGCTAGATCATTCCGCAGCACCTGCGGTGCACTGAGCGCAGCGCCTCCATGTGCAGTGCTTCCCGATGAGGACTCGGAACTGTGCATCCTAAAAATAGAGTCGTCGGGAACTGAGGAGCATATCCATCATACTCCGTATAACACGTAGTTCTCGCTTAGTATTAGCAGAAGAAGTCTGATGTGTCATCACAGTGTGTTGTGGACACACGTCATGATGCGATAGGACGGCATTCACGTTGCCGCATGGTTCTGGAAATTGTGTGGATCTTCAAGAATGTCGAGGACCATGTTCTTTGCGTGTGACATCTGCAGTGGCTGATTGTGACGTTAGTCGAAGTCACAGACTTGATGTAACGGCACAACGATCAGAATAATAGAGTCTTTTGCACAATGTTAACCAGATATCAGTCCGGTAGATTGGAAAAGAGCTAAGGGGACTTTACAGCCAGGGTAGGGTTTATATACTGGTGAGTAGAGTGCCCGTGATTAAGGAAAATAGTAAAACATGAGTCGACGAAGTCAAATACATTCAAAAGCTTGGCCCGACGTGCGGCCAACTGGGTCCGGTTCTAGACTGTGGCTGATTCGATCAAGGTCACCGCCACATACTCCCCTTCAAGGGTGTGTCCACACCCTTCACTTCTGATTCTTCCTTGACCTGTCCTCGCCGCTCTTCTTCCCCTTGCCGGCGCGACGAGTGTCCTCTTCAACCTCCATCGCCTGGCCCTGCTCCTCGTTAGTCGTGATGGGGGTGGAGGCGCCGAGGTTGGGAGTGGTAGATGCTGTGCATGAAGGGCCAGCTTGGTTGTCGGAAGGGTAGGTCCCTTCTCCCATGACTCTTCCTCTGACCTCCGATTTAGATCTTTTAGCCTTTCTTTCGGCTATGGAACGCTCCCGCCACTCGCGTTTCTTTTTAGCGCTCTCGAGGTTCATCCAGAGCGCCTCCTCCATGAGCTCGACTCGCTGAGGTGTGAGGTATCGTCCTCCCTCTGGTGGACGTGGTGTTGTCCTAGGCGGAGTGGGGACAGGGTCCTCGGACACGATGAGCTCTATGATGGAGGGGGAGGGGCCGCTGATAGTAGGTCCCTCGGTGCCTTCGATGGCGAAACGTGAGGGGTCTGCTTCCACTGCCGGCTGCATGTTGAATGCCAGCGCGAAGTCGTTGTAGCCGAAGGGGGTAGGGTTTTGGCCAGCCGTGCCCGCTCAGAGGTGTCCGTCGTACTCCAGGTACAACCGGACTGTCTCAACGAGAACTACGAGATCGTTTTCCCCGAGGCCAGCACCTAGGGGGCTGGGGATGGTGTACCTACAAGGACCAGCACGTTTGAGAAGAGGTGCCATTGACGTGTGGAGGTGGGGGGATGTGAGTTGGACGAGTGCTGTTGGGGGATGGGAGTTCGAGGTAGGAATGGTATAGGGGAATGGTGAGTCCTCGTCAGGTGTTATACCTTTGACGAGCTGATCGGAAAATAAGTGTCCCAGGAACACTTGGGGGTCGTCCTTCGACGGTTCCCCGCTCCCATCTCCTAGATCGGAGACATTCTCGACCCCCAGCAGCTGGAAATATTTGGCCAAGGCGTCCAGTTTTTCAACTTGATCGTACGCTAACCAAGTTTTGTCCCCTGTCTTCCACTGAATTTCAAAGACAGCGTCCGCTCGTCGCCCTTTGTGCGATACAATTCGATCGATCGCCCATTCGGCCTCTGGTTCGCCAAAGTCGGCGACCTGGGTCTCCGCTCGTCCCGGGAACAACCTGTCATCGTTGGGAACATGCTCCCTGAGGTAGGACGAGTGAAAGACTGGGTGAATTCCCCTTTGCTTGAGATGATCTGGCAGGTCTAATTTGAACGAGTTGTTCCCATAGTCCTCAATGATTTTGTAAGGTCCTACAAATTTAGGTACGAGCTTCCTGGAGGTCCCCTTAGGGAAGGATATATTTTTCGTTGACACGTAGACTAGGTCGCCTTTCACAAATGGACAAGGGCGCCGGCGTTTGTTTGCCTCCCGGGTTTGCTTGACTCGCGCGCCGATTAGCGCATCATGTGCAGTCATCGCTGCGTCCTTCATCCGTTGAAGGTACACCCGCACGCCAGGATACTCATCAGGGGTGGGGTCCTCCCAGATCATTGCACGGGGACCCTGCCGGTGTTGGCTATGAAAGGTGAGAGTGTTGTTGCCTCTGATCGTGCCATATTGATGGCAAATTCTATAGCTGATAACTTAGACACCCAGTTGTGCTGTCCGGGTCCTATCATGGACCGGAGCATCTGGACGATGGTGCGATTAGCTCGTTCTGTCGCCCCATCTGTCTGGGGGTGATAGGCGCTGGACATCTTCAGTTTCACGCCAAGCAGCTCGTTCAGTCGCGCCCAGAAGACGGACGTGAACAATACGTCTCGGTCACTTACGATGGCTTTCGGTAAGCCGTGGTGTTTATATACTTCTGAGAATACTAACTCGGCTACGTCCTTTGCAGTGTAGGTCGTCCGGCTGGGCACCAAATGCACTATGCTGGTTAAAAGGTCTATAATGACCGTTATCGAGTCGTATTCGCCGTCCCGGTCACGGGATGGTGGTAAGGGTCCTAGGAAGTCTATTCCTACTACTTCCCAAGGTTGGGACGGTGCTGGTAAGGAATTGAGCATTCCGTATGGTCGTTGATTCGACGGTTTACTCTTTTGGCAGGTGGTACACGAGGCGCAGTATGTCTGGATGTCCCGTGCCATGGTTTTCCACCAGACATGCTCCTGCAGGTAAGATAATGTCTTATCTGCACCTAAGTGCGCTAATATTGAGTGCGCTTGGTCGATTACAGTTTCGAGGAGTCGTCTGCCATCAATTGTTACGTTCGGTAAGCAAAGCACAGTTCTGTCTTTCAGTCTGAGTCTGATTAACCCATCCTTCACTTCGAAGTTTCGGAACTCTTTGGGAGATTCCAACACCTTGCTCAAGAGGCTATCTTTTTCGTACTGGCCCTGCAACTGCTTCAGCAGTTCGGTCTCGTTTGGGTACGTTACTGGAATTACTGCCATCAGTTCGCCCTCTGATAGTGTGCTGTTCGTGTTCGTCAGGCTGCCTGGTCCTGACTCCCTCCCCTCCATTCGTTCAGCAGGGGTTCATGGGCCACGCAGGACGAATCCGCCCTGGACCCGACGGGCAAACTCCTTGCTCGTCTCAGGCCGCCCAGTCTCCGCAGGAGGCACAGGCGGCCTACCACGCACCTGCCTGGGCATCGGTCCAGGCCCACTCGACGAAGCGATTGGTTGCTTGGTCGTCGACCCAGGTCTGCTTGGTGAAGCGATTGGTGGCCTGGTCGTTGGCCTCGACCCGCTGGACGAATGGACTGACTGTTTGGTCGTTGACCCAGACGCCACATCAGCCTTGGCTGCAGCGATCCTGGCGCTCCGTCGCGGGGGCGCGACGTACGCTTCCACACCCACCGACACCGGCATAGACACCAGGTCTGAAGCATCCAGCACCGGTGAATCCTCATCATGAGCAACGTACTCACTAGCCGCCCTCACCGTCCCAGGTGCATCAAAATCGTACATCCGGGACAGTGCGTCAGGCAGGATGTTGTGTTCCCCCGGCAGGTATTCAATCCTAAAGGTGAACTTGCCTAGTTTTTCCAACCAGCGCGCCTGCCGGCCGGACAGCCCCTTTTGGTCCAGTAAGTGCACCAAACTCTTGTGGTCCGTTAACCACACAAAACTCACACCTTGCAGGATATCCCTATGCCGCAGCATGGTTTCAACACCTGCCAGCAACTCCTGCTCGTGCACCGGGTAGTTGCGCTGCGCAGCACTCAGCTTCGCTGAGTAAAATGCGGCCACCTTGGCCTTCTGCCACGTGGCCCCTTGCGCCACGACCCCACCAACACTGGTGGGGCACGCGTCAGTCATCATCCAGATGGTTGGATGTCCCGGGGCATAACTCAAGGGTACCCGGCTGTGCGACGCGCATGCCGAGGCGTAACGCTTGACATCATCAAATGCCCTCTGCTCCATCTCCGTCCAACGGAATGGAACCGTGTCGCCACATACCACTGACAGGACGCCCAAAGGTATGCGAACCTTATAGATGTCATCCGCCAGATACCCCACTGACCTGACAAATCCCCGGCACACATATTACAGTGACCTATCTCCGTATAATACGAGGGAACGGACATGCATAATATCCCGTATGATACGGGCCAGCGGACCATGGGCCCATGATAAAAATATCCTCGACTATGACGGATGGGCCGGGAGGCAAATTATTCCCGATGGAGGCGGGTGGGCCCATGCAGGGAATATATAGAGTAGATGAGTGGGCCGATGTATATGAATATTAGGTAGACGGGTGGGCCGAGGTAGTTGGATATTATGCAGATGGGTGTATTAAGGTAGATGTGTATGAGATAGATGGGTAGGTACTTGTTATCACATTCACGGGTGGGCCCAGACACATATTAAATTAGACGGGTGGGCCGAGGGTATTATAAAATATTGTATTAGACGGGTAGGCCCAGACGCATATTAATTAGACGGGTGGGCCGAGGGTGTTGTATGGGATGTTGTATTAGATGGGTGGGCCGAGGGTGGTATAAAATATAGATGGGTGGGCCCATGTGTATCATAATTGTAGACATGATGGAGCTGAGGTAGTTGTACATCAACCAAATCAGAGGAGGTAATAAATCAAAGTTACCGAGTTCCCGGAGCAGCAGGTGATCTCCTGACATGGCCTTTGATGGTGCACAGGTTATCTTGCAGAATTTGGAATCCGGGGTGCAAAGCTTGTGTTGCCCTACGAGACACCAAGTTCCGACCACCCAAATTTGGGTCAACCGTACCGACTTCTGAGTTCCAGGACCCGGGAGTCGACAAATGAATATCTGATAACCAGCACACTTCCAATCAGGTAGTATTTCATTGAGCAATGGATCATCCAAGGGGTCCCTTATCGGACTCGGTAGTCAATATAGGCAAATGATAATGAAAACATGAAAGTTGTTATTATGCTATTTTTCAAACCCGAGACCCTGAAACCCATTGTTCAACATGTCCATTTTTCACTCACTGCACAAATCACCGAGTTTCGAGTGCCGAAACCCAAAACTCAAAACCCGGTGTGCAACACATCGATTGTTCATTTACATTACACAGATCATCGAGTTCTGAGTGTTGAGCGCCGAAACCCGAAAATATGTATGGAACATGTCCATTTCTTACTCATTGCACATATCACCGAGTTTCGAGTGCCAAAACCCGAAACTCGAAACCCAGTGTGCATCATGTCCATTGTTCAATTATATTACACAAGTCATCGAGTTCCGAGTTCCGAGGGACGAAATCCAAACCCCGGACCCCGAAAATATGTGCGCAACATGTCCATTTTTCACTCACTGCACAAATCACTGAGTTTCGAGTGCCAAAGCATGAAACTTGAAACCCAGTGTGCAACATGTTGATTTTTCATTTATATCACACAAATAACCAAGTGCCAAGTGCCAAGTGCCGAAACCCGAAGCCCGAGACCCGAAAATATGTATGCAACATTTCCATTTTTCACTTGTTGCACAAATCACTGAGTTTCAAGTGCCGAAACCCGAAACTCAAAACCGGGTGTGCAATATGTTCATTGTTCATTTACATTACACAGATCATCAAGTTCCGAGTGCCGAGGGCCGAAACCCGAAGCCCAAAACCCAAAATCATGTACACAACATGTCCATTTTTCACTCACTGCACAAATCACCGAGTTTCGAGTGCCAAAGCGTGAAACTTGAAACCCAGTGTGCAACATGTTGATTTTTCATTTATATCACACAAATCATCGAGTTCCGAGTGCCGAGGGCCGAGACCCGAACCCCGAACCCCGAAAATATGTATGCAACATGTCCATTTTTCACTTGTTGCACAAATCACTGAGTTTCAAGTGCCAAAACCCAAAACTCAAAACCGGGTGTGCAACATGTCCATTTTTCAATTATATTACACAAGTCATTGAGTTCCGAGGGCCGAGGGCCGAAACCCGAACCCCGAACCCCGAAAATATGTACACAACATGTCCATTTTTCACTCATTGCACAAATCACCGAGTTTTGAGTGCCGAAACCCAAAACTCAAAACCCAGCATGCAACATGTCCATTTTTCATTTACATTACACAAATCATCGAGTTCCGAGTGCCGAGGGCCGAGACCCGAACCCCGAACCCCGAAAATATGTGCGCAACATGTCCATTTTTCACTTATTGCACAAATCACCGAGTTTTGAGTGCCAAAACCTGAAACTCGAAACCCGGTGTGCAACATGTCCATTTTTCATTTATATTACTCAAATCATCGAGTTCCGAGTGCCGAGGGCCGAGACCCGAAGCCCGAGACCCGAAAATATGTATGCAACATGTCCATTTTTCACTTGTTGCACAAATCACCAAGTTTCAAGTGCCGAAACCCAAAACTCAAAACCGGGTGTGCAACATGTCCATTTTTCAATTATATTACACAAGTCATTGAGTTCCGAGGGCCGAGGGCCGAAACCCGAACCCCGAACCCCGAAAATATGTGCACAACATGTCCATTTTTTGCTCACTGCACACAGTCCACAATTTCGGGGTTTGGGGGTTTTAAATCAACCTTTCATATATCCATACACATTTTACCAACCCCCGAACCCCGAAATTGTGGACTGCCGGGTTTCGGGGTTCGGGGGTCCCGGAACTCGGAACTCGGTATGTAAGACAACAAAAATATCTTTCGGGGTTCGGGGGTTAGTGAAATGTTTATAGATATATGTAGGTTAATTCAAACATGTCTGAAAATTTTCATTCGTCTCAAATGTCAAATCCTGAGTTCCGGGCTTCGGGACTTGGCACCCGGCACCGGCACTCGGGGTTCGGGGTTCGGCACTGAAAATTTGACATTCAGGTGTTCGGATTTCGGGTGATATCTAAATCAACAGCTTCGAGTTCTGCCAAAGCGTGAAACTTAAAACCCAGTGTGCAACATGTTGATTTTTCATTTATATCACACAAATCATCGAGTTCCGAGTGCCGAGGGCTGAGACCCGAAGCCCGAGACCCGAAAATATGTACACAACATGTCCATTTTTCACTCACTGCACAAATCACCGAGTTTCGAGTGCCAAAGCGTGAAACTTGAAACCCAGTGTGCAACATGTTGATTTTTCATTTATATCACACAAATAACCAAGTGCCGAGTGCCAAGTGCCGAAACCCGAAGCCCGAGACCCGAAAATATGTATATAACATTTCCATTTTTCACTTGTTGCACAAATCACTGAGTTTCAAGTGCTGAAACCCAAAACTCAAAACCTGGTGTGCAACATGTTCATTGTTCATTTACATTACACAGATCATCGAGTTCCGAGTGCCGAGGGCCGAAACCCGAAGCCCAAAACCCAAAATCATGTACACAACATGTCCATTTTTCACTCATTGCACAAATCACCAAGTGTCGAGTGTCGAAACCTGAAACCCGGTACTTCAAATGGACACGAATTGTATTTGTATGTATTATCCATTGGTGTAGGGTTCAAATAACTTGGGAATTGTATTTGTCAGCACTCGGTACTCGGTACTCAGTGATTGGTGGTCAGTGGTCGGTACTCAAGACTCAGTAGTCAATATAGGCAAATGATAATGAAAAATGACAGTTGTAGTCCACATCAAGGTGAGTGTCTTGGTAGTCTTTCCTTGTCATTCGGCAAAACATCAGCAATAATGAAAAAATGAAAGTTGTTATTATGCTTAACTTCCTTACCGAAGGTTGTAGTCCAAGTCCAGGTGAGTGTAGTGATAGTCTTTTCTTGTCAATTGGTTATCTTGTTACTCATTACGCAGTACTCGGTACATGGTAATTGGTACTCAGTATTTGGTTTTGATACTCGGTACCCGGGAATCAGTAGTCAGCTTAATGAAGGTTGTAGTCCGAGTCTAGGTGAGTTTATTTGTAGTCTTTTCTCGTCCATTGGTTACCATGTGACCGAGATATAAGCTAAAGAAATCCGAAACATCAATAATGACAAATGAAATACATGTGTGCAGTAAGTGAGTCTAAAGATAAAAGAATGAATATTAATAACGAGACTTGCACATTATGTCGAGATATCCAACATAACAAGCCTGTGATGTGATCAGAGACCTGGAATAACACCCATATACATCCATTATAATAGCTTAAAAGCTTAGAAAGATTCATGAAGGATTGATGTAATGATAGGCAAAATGACATATGTGTGGAGAGTGACAATAGACATCTTTTATACAAAGTCACATTTATATATGATTCAGGCCAAAAATATCATTACAAATATGTAGGATAGATCGTAAACTACCCAAGGAACCCATACTGCCTACTGCCCTGAGGGTAGGGGGTGGGTAGAAGGGATATAGTGAAAATATGAGTTGACCCAGCATTAAAGTCCTACCACTGCTCAACTAACCATTTTCGATGCTTTGGGTCTTTGAAGTTTCCCACACTCAATTTCTTACCCATTTCACTTCCTCAGTACTCAATTCTTGGTTGATTTGTCTGTAAATTTATGTCTATGATACTTAAGATATTTGAAATGTACCCCAGGTTTCTGATTATGAAGATTCAATGTTTTGAAGGCATGGGCCCCTTATCAGGCGAAATGGCAAGTATACACACTAGCTCACAAACTCCAGCCTATTGTGAGCTGATCTTGGTCATAAGAAGCAAGAATATAAGCTATGCTCATTATATATTAAAAGGTTGGATCATGGATGCAAGGGCAAGATACTGAAAATCGTGAAAAAATATCACAAGTGCAATTGTCTATGCTTTGTTCCTGGAAAAGGATCCTGTGTGTCCTGGGCTGGTTATATGATATATCTACTCCGAATATGCTCAGGAATAGACTCCCTACAGTCCTTGAGGTCCAGTCCTACAGGGAAAAAACCCCAGCAGGTGAACCACCAGAAGAGGGGGAGGTACACTATACAATAAAGGATTACCCTATGGTCCTGAGCTCCTGATACATTGTTTCTATTGTTGAATAGATGATTGAGATACTATTCACCTAGAAATGAACACATAGGAACATATTTTGTATTTTTATGTATATATGCAATATCCATTCAAGCACCAAGTCTCAACTACCGATTACCAAGTCCCGACACTTGATAGTTGATAGTCAGTATTCGAGCTCCGAGTGCCAATATTGCCTACCAATATCTCAGTCAAATGATAACCAAACCAAGACCCAAGTTCCAAACCTGACTACTGAATACCAAGTATCAGTACTCGGGACTCGGGACTATTGGCTGGAGTACCCAACTATTGATTCACAGGTACCGAGAATTAGAACCAAGTACTGAGTACCTGACTACTGATTCTTGGGTACCAAGTATCAGAACCGAGTACCGAGTACCCCACTACTGATTCTCGGGTATCAAGTATCAGAACCAAATACCAAGTACTGATTCCCTTGTACCGAGTACCGAGTAACGAGATAACCAATTGACAAGAAAAAACTACCAATACACTCACCTTGGCTCGGACTACAACTTTTGTTCAGGAACTTAAACATAATAATAACTTTCATTTTTCATTATTGCCGATGTTTCAGATTTCTTTAGCTTATATCTCGGTTAAATGATAACTGATGGACAAGAAAAGACTACCAATACACTCCCCTAGACTCGGACTACAAACCTTCGGTAAGGAAGTTAAGCGTAATAACAACTTTCATTTTTCATTACCATTTGCCTATATTGACTACCGACCAGTGGCTGAGTGCCTAAGCTTGAAACTTGAAATCGGTGGAAAATGAAATCTCGCAAACAATGTACACATGAACATGTTTCATTTCCATAAACAATTCCCCGAGTGTCATGTACCGAGCCCCCGAAACCCAAAGCCTGAAGCCCGGACTGTGTTGTCAGGTTAGTACAAGACACTCGGTGAATTGTCAAATGAAATGAAACATTTTCATGTGTACATTGTCGCGAGATTTTGTTTTCCACTGATTTCAAGTTCCAAGCTTCAGCACTCAGCATCCGGCACTCGGAACTCGGAACTCGGCGCTCGGAACTCAGAACTCAGTGAAATGTCTAAGGAAATAGAAATTTCACAATTCCCTGAGTTAGTACAAGACACTCAGTGAATTGTCAAAGGAAATAAAACATTTTCATGTGTACATTGTTGCAAGATTTCGTTTTCCACTGATTTCAAGTTTTGAGCTCGGCACTCGGCACTCGGCACTCGGAGCTCGGAACTCGGCGCCTCGGAACTCGGAATTCGGCGCCCGGACCTCGGAACTCAGTGAAATGTCCAAGGAAATAGAAATTTCACAATTCCCCGAGTGTCGTGTACCGAGCCCTGAAGCCTGAAGCCGGGACTGTGTTGTCAGGTTAGTACAAGACACTCGGTGAATTGTCAAAGGAAATAAAACATCTTCATGTGTACATTGTTGCGAGATTTCATTTTCCACTGATTTCAAGTTTCAAGCTTCGGCACTAATTCGGAACTCGGGACTCGATTTTTGAGATGAAAGACATTTTTCAAACATGTTTGAATCAACCTTTCATATATCCATAAACATTTTACCAACTCCCGAACCCCGAAATTGTGGACTGCCAGGTCTCGGGGGTTGGGGGTTGGTGCTCGGGACTTGGGAAATTTGGGGAGATCAATAAAATTTGATCTACAATAAATTTGATTTACAAACAAATTGATTTACAAACTTTTGAAAGATATGTCGTCTCACATATCGAGTCCCGAGTTCCGGGACCCCCGAACCCCGAACCCCGAGACCCGGCAGTCCACAATTTCGGGGTTCGGGGGTGATCTACAATAAATTTGATTTACAAACAAATTGATTTACAAACTTTTGAAAGATATCTGTGTTGTCTCACATATTGAGTCCCGAGTTCCGGGACCCCCGAACCCCGAAATTGTGGACTGCCGGGTCTCGGGGGTCGGGGGTCGGCGCTCGGGACTTGGGAAATTTGGGGAGATCAATAAAATTTGATCTACAATAAATTTGATTTACAAACAAATTGATTTACAAACTTTTGAAAGATATCTGTGTTGTCTCACATATTGAGTCCCGAGTTCCGGGACCCCCGAACCCCGAAACCCGAGACCCGGCAGTCCACAATTTCGGGGTTTGGGGGTGGTAAAATGTCTATGGATATACAAAAGGTTGATTCAAACATGTTTGAAAGATGTCTTACCCGGAACTCGGGACTCGATTTTTGAGATGAAAGACATCTTTCAAACATGTTTGAATCAACCTTTCATATATCCATAAACATTTTACCAACCCCCGAACCCTGAAATTGTGGACTGCCGGGTCCCGGGTTTCGGGGTTCGGGGGTCCCGGAACTCGGAACTCGGTATGTGAGACAACAAAAATATATTTCAAACACGGGTAAGTCAATGTGTTTGTCAATCAACTTGATTGTAAATTATATTTTATTGATCTCCCCAAATTTCCCAAGTTCCGAGTTCCGAGCTCCGGGACCCCTGAACCCCGAAACCCGACACCCGGCAGTCCACAATTTCGGGGTTCGGGAGTTGGTAAAATGTGTATGGATAGATGAAAGGTTAATTTAAACATTTTTGAAAGATATCCCATATGAAATGTCAAGTCCCAAGTTTCGATTTCCGGGTTTCTGGAGTGCCGAGTCCCGAAGCCCGAAGTCCCGAAACCCGGAGTCCCGAAACCCGGAGTTCAAAACTCGGGACTTAACATTTCATATGGGACATCTTTCAAAAATGTTTAAATCAACCTTTCATCTATCCATACACATTTTACCAACTCCCGAACCCCGAAATTGTGGACTGCCGGGTTTCGGGGTTCGGGGGTCCCGGAGCTCGGAACTCAGAACTTGGGAAATTTGGGGAGATCAATAAAATATAATTTACAATCAAGTTGATTGACAAACACATTGACTTACCCGTGTTTGAAATATATTTTTGTTGTCTCACATACTGAGTTCCGAGTTCCGGGACCCCCGAACCCCGAAACCCGAGACCCGGCAGTCCACAATTTCGGGGTTCGGGGGTTGGTAAATCTCGGTTTGGGGTTTTGCACTGAAAATTTGACATTTATACATATCTAGGCTCACCCATATATGTACCCATCTATGTACAATTCCCCCACATCAGCCCACCCATCTATGTATTATCCCCCACGTCGGCCCACCCGTCTATGTAATACATCCTATGTTGGCCCACCCGTCTATATAATTATACCCCACCTCGGCCCACCTGTCTATGTAATAAATATTTTATCACACCCTCGGCCCACCCGTATATGTAATACTTTTTATGTCGGCCCACCTGTATATGTAATACACCCCGCGTCAGCCCACCCATCTATGTAATATTCCCCTACCTCGGCCCACCCATATATGTAATACACCCCCGTCGGCCCGCCCGTCTATATAACAATATTTGCCTTACATCTCTCTTCAGCCCAGCTGTCTATAATATCCTACTCTACATATTACCCTGATGGGCCCACCCATCTCCATGAATGATCATATTCCCCCGGCCCATCCGTCAACATCAAGGATATATATATCATTGGCATACATGGGCCCACCCGTCTCCATCGGAAATAATATGTGTCCCGGCCCATCTGTCATCATCGAGAATATACACAACATGGGCCCATAATCCGCTGGCCCGTCTCATACGGGATATTATGTAGGTCGGGTGGCCCGTATAATACGGAATTTGTCACTGAAGGGGCTCTCACTCCAGCTGCTGCTCCCTTCACTCCTGCTCCTGCTCCTTCACTCCTGCTCCTGCTCCCCTCACTCCTGCTCCTGCTCCCTTCACTTCGGCTCCTGCTCCTGCTCCCTCCCATACCGTCCCTTACAATACATCCCCCCAATTCCACCTTCCCGGTCTCCCGACACCAAAAGACGCCCTCGACAATCATAACGCCGAGGACGACGACTTTGATCAAGACATTAGCGGACCATTGACACCCACTTGGAGATTATTTTGAAGATGATGATATGATGGTCGACGAGACGACCGGTAGCTCTTCCCGTGTTGCAGGGAAGAAACGGCAGCTTCCCTCGTCACCATCGCCCCCTCCTAACGCTCCAGAACCATTCCACAGGCCTGCAAAATCCCCGGCATCTTCCTATAACAACCGCTCGGCATTTGGCTTACAGAAGCCATTGAGCCGTGGGGGACGACGCAAACGACCATCAGAGATGTCGCGGAGCACATCAACGCCTTCGTCGACGACATGAAATACTACCTCGACGTCAGACTACTTTGTGTCCCCAACTCCCCAGACGTCACTCCCAACCAGCACCGGCAGTTTGAAGAAGAAAAAAGCGAAATCGGACGTGATGGAACAGGTGGACCAGATGAAGGATGAGATCCAGAATATGCACTCTGATGCCATGTCCCGCCACGACAGCAAGCACCAGCGCTTCCTCGCGAAGCTCGACGCGAAGAGCGAGCACAATCGCGACGTCAAGAAGTACGAGTGGCTTCGCACTAACTGCGAACATGAGGCCTCCCAAGCCACTGTAAGCCATCAGCGGCTGCAGCAGACCAAAGACGCCGAAATTCGCCTTCGCGAGACGGATATCCGAGTCCACAAAGCACATTCGTTGGTGCTCGAGAAAGAGGCAGAGACTCTTCGACTCAAAATCCAGTACCACCAAATGATGCAGGCTGGCAAGGCCTCATCAGATGGAGGAGCTGGATGAGTCTTTTTGTTGTGTCGTCGTCTCCGTCTCTGTCGTCGTCATCATCATCGTCTCGTTGTCGTCGTCTCGTTGTCGTCGTTGTCATTGTCGTCTCGTTATCTCATTATCATCTCATCGTCGCTCATCTATCTGTTGTCACTATGTCATTGTTGCTGTATGTTTGTTTACATCCTTATGTTTTTTTTCCATTGCATGCACATGTTTTTGGTGTTGTAATTGTTGGTACTTTCTTGATTGATATTTACATAGCTACATACATTTGTTGTACAGGTGTTTAAGTGGTAGTACATGTTCAATCAAACATTGTGGTGAATCATCCTTCCCTATGGTGTGCATTTGAGTGAGGACTGTCAAAGAGTGCATTCATCAGCCTTGCACGAGCAGCTTGACCTGGAGTGCCTTCATAAGTCCTGTCCCCAACAACTTCTTCACCATCTGGACCCTCAACTTCTCGATCAATGAATCTTTCCCCTCAGCACGAGCCCACTTTAGAGAACTCTCGTATGTTCCATCCCTCTTGCGATGCTCGATTTCAAAGCGAATGATCATGTTGTGTAGGATAATGCAGCACTTGATCCACTGCACGGCAAACTCAAGGTCTTTCTCAGCCTGAATTCTGAACTGGAGCTCTCGAAGGGACTGGAACCGTCCCTTCAAAACAGCGAATGTGTGTTCAACACGAACACAGATCTAAAAAAATTCAATTTACTGAAATATAAACCTCAAAAAAAAATACCTTAGAGAGATGATAATTAAATGTCTTCTGGTCCTTAGTCAACCGCCCATTGCGAGGCTTCTTGAAAGGGCAATGCACCATGGCTCCAATGGATATGCACTGTCAGCCCACACCCAATGACCATCAGGCAGAAGGTCAGCATGCTCTTCATAGAGACGGGTAGATCGAAAAGCGAATGCATCATGGACACTCCCGGATGACCCAGAGAATAATCCACAATTAGAAGGTTATGGGGCAAAATGACTGCCTAGAATTAAATCAATTTTTGCACATGAAGATTTTAAAAAAATACCTGACAG